AAAGCCCAGACTTTCGAGTTAAAGAGAAGTGAAATTGAGACGAAGCAACAAACTCACTGAAGATGATCGAGTGGGTAAGTCTTCTTGCAAGGCTCCAATACATCCCAAAGATACTTCACGCCCATTCGCTTCCGCTGAGAGAGAAGAGAGGGAGAGAGACAGAGAGAGAAAGGGGGAAAATTTTGAATTTGAAACTCTAATTTTTTTTGGTGCATAGACACAAGATTGGTGTATAAAACACAATGGAGAGTGAGTTTTCAATTTTTTGAAAAAAAGAAAAAAATGATTGTTTTACTGTAGAAAATAATGTAATTTTGAAGCTTCCAGGAACCAGAAATAGATGTCATAAGATCAAAAAATTACACACGGAGTCTTTTTCATCTTTATTCCACACTTTCGTTGTAAATAATTTTCATTTTCATTTTGTTGAGTAACAAACGTATTAACATTTTGTTTGGTTTATTTTCCTTTTTCCATCTTCTTCTTAAAGGAGATTTGGATTTAGGAACTATTCAGTCCAGAACTCCCCTCCGTACATGAACTATTCTATTGTGCCTACAGCCTATTTTATTTGATTTCTCTTTAGGTAACCATGACTTGTCAATGTAAGTGATAGATGTGATTTGGGTACATAAATAAGTTATTTGGGTGTCTTAATAAATAACTGAAAGGAGTCTTATTTGACAATTGACATACTTGCTCATGAACTTGTACTCCCAGTCTTTACCACCAGCATTAACAAGAAATCTGGAGTGGCAAGTGTGCAACCAATCAGCATTCAGACACAAAGATGGAGGAAAAAAGACATTGAAGTGGTAAGTGGTTGTACGTTGGAAAGATCATATGCCACCCTTTGTACAAACATGGGAAGCCTTATCAGTCATCATGTTTATAGAATTGTAGCCTTCTTGTAAGATACACACATGACAAGTAAACGTGTATCACAGAAACAATTAATTAAATGTTTGATTGAAAATCCCAAACCAACAAATATATATATATAAAGGAGATCGGGAAGGTAAAGCTGTCGCTGAAAAGCTTTAGTCAACCCATCCCAAACCAACAAATATATATATATAAAGGAGATCGGGAAGGTAAAGCTGTCGCTGAAAAGCTTTAGTCAACCCACCAGAGAACTATCAAAATATTTCCTTTTCAGTACACTTGTTGGATCTAAGTATCAGTTAAAGGTTTGGTAATTGTTAGACAGAAAGCTTTTTTATTGCTGGTAGCTTGAGTTTTTCTTTTATAAAAAAGATGTATGTGTTTCTGATGATCATCTTTACATAGAATAAAAACGAAATAATTTAGGGTTAAAACACTCACTATAAGAAAACATGGTGAATTCTTACGGAAAATATCATCAATAAACAGTAGAAATGGTCTTTTCCTACCATTACCCAATGCAACCTCTCACTCTGCAAAATGGCTAGTCTCTAGGCTAATTTGACGACAGGCTATCTTTTACTTGGTCCCGGAAGACATCACCAGTTCGAAGAATACATAAACCAAAGCTATGTGAAGATGATGTACAGTTTACAAGCACCAGTTATTTTTAGCCTCTGAGGGTTTCCAGTGAAGGTCATAATGCTGTCTCAAGACGAAGCTCTGAGAGTTAGCCATAACTTTGATGGGGCTAAAAGGGGAAGAGATGCAAAGGTTCTAAAATGTTGAAGTTTTTTTTTTTCCTTAAAAAAGGAAAAACAATTAGCATTTACATTTGTTTTATGTCAACTAGTATTTTTATTTGTAATAAGGAAATAAAACACCATATTAAAATTCTAATAAGGAAAGTAAACAAAAAATTAAACAAGTAGTATTTCTATTTAGATTAATAAAAAAAAAATACAATCCTGGGAAGAAAAGAAATTCTAATTTTTCACCTCTATATAACCAATTTTGGTAGCTTTTCAATTTTATAAAAATTTTACTAACCTATTTTGTCCATTAGATCTACACCTATCTCTCTCCTAGCGGTACTCGTTAGGGTTTCAAGAGTTACTTGGGTCTCAGGGTTCGTTGAGAGATACTCCTTTTTGCTTTGGGGTTAGGTTTTTCAGCGTTTCACGTTTGTCCCTCCCTTATGTTTGTGGAAAAGAGAGCTTTCTAGCTTCTTTTTCTCTTGGATTTCGGCTATTTTTTCGACTCAACTATCTTCAAGCTTGTTCTTTTTCCGATCATTCAACGGACTTGGTTACGGTTAGGCTGCGCCACATTTACTCCTTGTGCAAAGCGTGTCCTGGAGTTATCACTTGAGACAAAACTAGGTAAGGATCTGTTTCTCTTCGTCAGCATTTAGGCTTTGGAGCTTCTTATATGCTCTGCGTATTACATACATAAGCTTTGTTGCCTGACGACACTTAGACGTTTCTTATCAATTTGGCAACTTTTGTTATTTTTGAATTCTAGGGCATAACTACATTAGGACAGAGCATCTTCTGCTTAATCTTCTTCTTGAAAGGGAAGCTGTTGCACCTACTGAATTTATCAAAATATGCATATTACAATTTGAGTAGAATTTTTTCAGGTTATATATAAGTATGGTTGAGGAAAGCGATGATGAAGGAAACTACAAAATGCCAACACTAAAAAAGTATGGGACTAACTTAACTAAACTAGCAGAGGAGGTAATAAAAATCGATTTCTCAATACTCGTCTTGAAGAAACTCTCAAGAAAGTTTCACGTTAAATCTTGATTTAAGGCTTTTTGTTAAAACTTGGGTTTTCACTTTCTGTTTGTTGCCAGGGCAAACTGGAACCGGTTGTTGGAAGGCAACCGCAGATCGAGCGAGTGGTACAGATCTTGTCTCGAAGACGCAAGAACAACCCTTGTTTTATTGGAGAACGAGGAGTTGGTAAGACAGCAATAGCTCAAGGAATCGCTCAGATGATTGCCAGTGGTGATGCTCCTGAAGCTATTGAGGGGAAGACGGTAATATAGCAATGATGTTTCTAAAAGATGCTGAGAAGAGCGCATATATATATATATGTTTTTTTATGTGTTTGCCTTAACAATTTTTGTTTTGTTTTGTTTTCAGGTTATAGCCCTTGATGTGGATCTTCTAGTGGCTGGAACGGCGAATTACTGTGAAAAATTCGTGGATAGATTGAAGAATCTTATCGGAGAAATCGAACAAAGTGATGACATAATTCTGTTTATTGACGAAATGCACACGCTGATCGAACAAGATAAAGCTGCTAACATCTTAAAGCCAGCTCTTGCAAGGGGTGAATTGCAGGTAGATTTTTCTCTCATTCTTTCTTCTTGGTCTGTCAAAAAACCAATATAACTGGAAACTCATGGGCTTATTTTTGTTTTTGTTTTTACGGTTTGTAGTGTATTGGTGCAACAACATTTGATGAGTACAGGGAGCACATAAAGGAAGATCCTGCATTGGAGAGACGGTTCCAGCTTGTGAAGGTACCTGAACCAACCGTAGAGGAAGCTATACAGATCTTGCACGGTCTCCGTGAGCGATACGAGATCCACCACAAGCTCCGGTACACTGACGAAGCCTTGGTTGCTGCTGCGCAATTGTCACACCAGTACATCAGGTTTTTTTGTCCTTTTTTCTACAACGTTTTGAGAATTTCTCTTACACAAGTTGCAGCATGCATTTTCTCAACCTAAATTTCTCCTCTTGAATGAATAGTGATCGGTTTCTTCCTGACAAAGCAATTGACTTGATTGATGACGCTGGCTCTCGGGTTCGGCTACGCCTACGCCAAGCTAAGGTTCATCATATTTCTCGCATTACCAGAAAAATAGTCTTTTATATCTATTTGAGATGAATCAGAATGGAAATTTTTTTGTTTGGTTTAGGTCCCTGAGGAAGCTAGAGAGCTTGAAAAGCAACTCAGACAGATCACCAAGGAGAAGAATGAAGCTGTGCGAGCCCAAGACTTTGAAAAGGTATCGTCTCTGAGTTTTCTTACTGTCTATAAAACCCAAGAATTAGAGTTTACAGTTCCCTGATTTCTTCTTCAACAGGCTGGTTCTCATCGTGACCGTGAAATAGAGCTTAGGGCTGAGATATCTGCTGTTTTAGCCAAAGGAGGCAAAGAAGTGAGCAAAGCCGAGACTAAAGCTGAAGAAGAAAGAAGACCTACTGTCACTGAATCCGACATCCAACACATTGTCTCTACCTGGACTGGAATCGCTGTAGAGAAAGTCACATCTGATGAATCTAGCCGTCTTCTCAAAATGGAGCAGACCCTTCACACAAGAATCATTGGCCAAGACGAAGCCGTCAAAGCCATTAGCCGTGCCATACGCCGTGCACGTGTTGGACTCAAGAACCCGAAACGCCCCATCGCTAGTTTCATCTTCTCTGGTCCGACCGGTGTGGGGAAATCAGAGCTTGCAAAAGCCTTGGCTGCTTACCTCTTCGGTTCAGAAGAAGCAATGATCCGTCTCGACATGAGTGAGTTCATGGAACAACACACGGTTTCAAAACTCATCGGTTCACCTCCTGGTTACGTAGGATACGAAGAAGGAGGTCAGTTAACTGAGGCGGTTCGAGGCAGGCCTTACACACTCGTTCTCTTTGACGAAATCGAAAAAGCACATCCAGATGTTTTCAACATGATGCTTCAGATCCTAGAAGACGGTAGACTAACCGATAGCAAAGGAAGAACCGTCGATTTCAAGAACACGCTTTTGATCATGACTTCGAACGTAGGAAGCAGCGTGATCGAACAGGGCGTTGGGAGAATAGGGTATGACAAAATCAGCACTTTAGTGACTGAGGCACTAAAAAAGCATTTCAGACCAGAGTTCTTGAACAGGTTAGATGAGAAAATTGTTTTCAGACAGTTGACGAAGCACGAGGTCAAGGAGATTGCTGATATATTGGTTAAAGAAGTGGTGGTGAGGCTCAAGGGCAAAAAGATTGAGCTTCAGGTGACTGAGAGGTTTATGGAGAGAGTGGTGGATGAAGGATTCGACCCGAGTTACGGCGCAAGGCCGCTTAGACGAGCGGTTATGAGGCTTTTGGAAGATACCATGGCGGAGAAGATGCTTTCAAGGGACATTAAAGATGGAGATTCTGTGATTGTTGATGTTGATGCAGACGGAAATGTGGTTGTGTTGAATGGTAACAACGGAGATGGTGATGGTTCTGTTGCTGAAGAATCCATGGATGAAGATCCAGTTGCTGTTGTTTAGTCTTATGAACCAAACCAATATCCCAGATAGTTGCTGCAAGAGAGAAAAATAGAGAAGCTCAAGAAACAGAGTTTTAGAAAACAGAGGACTTAAACACTCTTGAACTGAGAAATCTATATACTAAACAGAGACTATTATTTTCCTTTCAAACATTATCTTTGGAATCTTTAAACTATAGTGTTTACTTTTTAAAATCCACTTCTCTTTGAGTTAAAAACATAATATTCGGGGTCTTGAGGAAGACAAGGCAAATCGTGATAAAACTGTAGAAATAATGTATAATCTGAAGCTTCCATTAACCAGAAAATAAGATGTAATCATAAGAGATCCGAAAAGCACACACACAAAGTCCACCTTTTTTTATACGACTCATACTTAAACCCTGAAAAATCTCACTAATTTCTCAAGTTAATCGTTTGCCTCCGATTACATTGACTTACTCCTCCTTTGAAGCATCACCATTCGCAACATCCTTGTTCTCCGTGGTTTCTGCTGTTTTCTCATCTATGCTTCTAGAAGTTTCATCACGGGTAACCACGGAAGCTTCTTCTCCAGTATTTGTAGAAGGACTTTCCTCTGCGTCAGCTTTTGTTTCAGAAGTTTCTTCTTTGCCTTCTCCAACCTTCTTCTGAATGGTCCCGACTTTGACATACTTGCTCATGAACTTGTACTCCCAGTCTTGCAACGCCTCTAGCTCAAATGGACCGAGACCCGAGATGTCTCCTGTCAAGTCGATGTCCTCAAACGACATCTTCGCCAAAGCTCTGCTTGCATCTTTGCCTGCAAACAGAGCGTATGGTCCACCTGGTCCATAGAACATCCTGCAGGGAAAAAAGAAGAAGAACACATGTCATGTGAGTATATGTGATGAACTATGGTACAAGAAAAATACAACGATATGCATAGCTATGTGCATTGATGAGTGTGTTTGTGTTTATATACATACAAACAAAAGAGAATCAAAAGCAGACTGCATAACATTATGAACAAAGGAGAAAATTTTCATACCGAAGAAAGGAGGGAATATTCATAGTTTCATACTAAGATAGCCAGAAAAGCTCACAACGAGCTAGAGACCAAAAGTTATCAGTTTTAACGAAAAAGAAGAACTTAAACAGATGATCTCTTCATATATGCATACTAACGATGAAGATAATCAGAACTAGTATGAGACAATAGATTGTAATTGAAACTACCAATTACACAATTGAACAATCAACCAAAACCCCCAATTTTCAGCAATAATCTCCAAAATCCTAAACCCCCAAATCTCGACACTCTGATAAACAATAGCACGAGAGAGAATCTGGATTCAATGATAGTTTCTGAGGAAGTGAAAGATTATCGAGTAAACCTGCTCTGTGAAACATCGTAGATCTGGCCCTTGATCGCCATGAGAAGGGGCTTTTTGGAATCGGAACCGTCATACTGCTTAAGCTCATCCTCGGTGATTTCTCCGAGCTGAACCGGCGGCGGAAGAGGCTCCGATTGCGGGTAAACCTCTGTAGAACGAGGTCTGTGTTCTTCGGGAGAGACGAAGAAACCGGAGACGACTTGATAGACGGCGAAAGCGAGAGCTAAGACGGTGAAAAAAGCAGCCGGAGAAAGTCCAGTGTAAGCTGTAATGGTTTCCTTGAGCGTCTCCCATACTTGTAGCACCATGATCGGAGCAATCGACGGAGAGGGAGAATCGGTGGTCACTGGTCCGTAACGTTGATATTCTGTTTTATTAATTTTTTTTTATTTTCTTCCTCAGAGTTTGTTTATATAATTTGTTTGTAAAAAGGAAATAAACTCGTTAATCGAGAATTAAACATATTTCGCTAATACATGGTCAATTACGCAACAAACATTTTTAATTCTAAAACTTTTTTTCAACAGAGCCGTCAATAAATGACCGCTGATTTCCAAGGACGAACGATTAAACAAATAGTCCTATGAGTTTTTATTCCGAAAATACATATTTTTGGTTCGTAAGAATCAATTATATTATATACACACAAACGTTTTAATAATATCGTAACACCTAACTAAATGGTGGCTGAGATGAATAAAAACGGTGCCGTTATTGCCGTCTTGAGAAGAGTTGTTAGTAGGTGAGAGGTAGATGATAGGAAAACAAATGTGACTAAATATCTCCTCTTTTGTAAATATATAAAAAAAACATGTGTTTCAAGTAAACTTGGTTTCTTTTCCATATACTTGTTAGTTGGTAGTGGTACATACAAACCATAACCAATTGGAAGTTGTGTTGTATTTATGTGAGATTATAAAAGCTAAATCAGAATCGATTTTACTGATTATTAGTGATATTATTGAATTAATAAAATGAGAAAAAGCAAGTAATTATTGCATTCTTGTACAGTTGTCCATAACAATATTCAACATTCGACGTTTAAAAAAAAAAAACAATACTCACTTTATTCAATAACTACGGAACCTTACAAAAAAAAATATAGAGTACAATATAAATTGATTAGGAGAGGTGTTTTTTTTTTTTGTGCTAAAGAGGTGCAAGAGATGTTACGATTTTTTTTAATGTGTATATTTGTATAGATTAACTAGAAAATTAAATTAAAATTAGGCAATTAGGTTAAATCAATTGATTGTAAGTATAAATAAGGTTTTGAAATCAAGAAGAATAACATAAAATTGTTTTTTGATAGGAGACTCTCCATACATTTAACCACGAGGAGTCATTTTTCCTCCGTTGGAAGCCAATTATACTTATCTGCGTATGTCAATTTTCCCTAACTTGTGACTTAATCTTTTACTCTCTATCACTTTTTACTATTTTTTTTCTTGTTTTCTAAAAACCTAATTATTTGATCACTATAGAAAAACATGTTATCTTTCTACGAAAATTATCGTCAAAAAATCGTACGATATTATATTTTTTTTTACTATTTTTCTACGATATTTTTTCATAGGTTACAACCCGTCAAAAATCGAGATTGGTAAAAAAATGGTAGGAAAGTCGTAGGAAGGAAATATCTGACTATTCTCATATCATTTTTCTACCGACTATTTTCTACATTTTCCTACTAACTATTTTCTATGGATCATCATCGTAGCTTCAATTCTGCTTCGTGGTTTCTTTTTGAGTTTAGGAATCTTGATACTCTAAAATGGTTACTTTTCGATTAGGGTTGTGTATTCGCATACAGATTTTGTTTAGAGATGAATGCTTGTTTGGTCGTTTTGTCATTATTTGCCCAAATGTGAATAAAAATAAAGCCCTTCAAGGCAACTTAAAATGTGAGAAACATCATTTTGTCCCACATTGGAGGATTGAAAATATTTTGAATCATATAAATATAGACACACACATGACATAGTTCAAAGTGTGTGAAGGAAAACCAAGGATCCCTCGCGCGCCTCCGCTGCCGCCGAGCCGGGCTCGGGTCTCGGGTCTTGGGTCTTGGGTCTTGGGTCTTGGATCTTGGTGAATGTGGGCCGAATGTTCTTTTTGGGCCACGTTTTGGTCAACATTTCTGGCCCAAATTGCTAAAGTTTTCGGTTCAAATTCTTGACAGAATCACGACATTAATCTGCAGTCAAATGTCTATCCCGAAAATCACGCCAAGATTAATGCCCAAATCGCATCATTAGCGCAAAATTAATCATGTCATTAACACGCTGATTAAGTGCGACGCTCCTCTCTCCTTCGATATATATATCGACTTCTCCTCTTCCATTTTTCACTCACTTGTCTCAAATTTTTTACAGACAAAAAGTCGTTCACAATTTCCTCAATCTCTCGCGTCTCTTTTCTTCTTTCAAGAGTAAGTGTCCGAGAGTATATCGTAAAATACTAGTTCGTCACATTCTATAATCAGGTGCTGCGATTATACGAATACTAGTGGTTGTATCCTGTGATTCATTATCTCATCCAACCGCCACACTGCGGGAGATATTTTGAATTAAGGAAAGAGATCATCTCGCCTCCACTTCTCGTTTTTCCTTAATCCGCTTTTAGAAAACGTTTTTCTGTGTCTCAAATCGTTTTCTGATATTGCAATATTTGTCTCCTCTAAATTTACTTCCTACAGATATGTGAAGACGATGAACAGTTTACAAGCACCAGTTTTGAGAATCCAGAGCTTCTCAGGGTTAAGGGTTTTAAATGCATTGGATCTTACTGCCAGGCCTGGTCAGATTTGTTTATCTAGGTTAACCTCTCGGTTTCATCCAGGAAAGGAAAAGCTAGCAGGTGTCTAATAAAAGCCTATTTTCATCGGCATACGAGAAAGCAATTAAGGCCATAATACTATCTCAAGAGGAAGCTCGGAGACTTGGCCATACTTTTGTTGGGACTGAGCAGATACTGTTGGGTCTGATTGGGGAAAGGAGTGGAATCGCTGCAAGGGTTCTTACATCAATGGGGATCACTCTTGAAGATGCTCGTGAAGAGGTGGAAAAGATCATTGGAGGAAGCAGAGGAGATACGCCAGGGGAGATCCCATTTACTCCTAGTGCAAAGCAAGTCCTGGAGTTCACTAGAGGAAGCTCGACAACTAGGTAAGGATCTATTTTTCAGTATTTAGGCTTGGAGCTTTTTATATGTTGTGTATTACAGAAGCTTTCTTGACTGATAAACACATTTGTTATCAATAATTAGCAACTTTTTGTTATTTTGGATTCTAGGGTGTAACTACATTGGGACAGAGCATCTTCTGCGTGGTCTTCTTCGTGAAGGGGTAAGTATTGTAGCTCGTGTTCTGGACATAACACTAATTATTATGGCTCTCAAATCTTCAAAACCATAAATTTTTGGACACCATTGACAAATGTGTGGATTGGTTCATCCGCTATCACCCGCAAAAGCTACTGGTTAGTAGCGTTATAACAATTATAGAAATGAATTTAAACCGCTCCGTATTATTTTATATTATTGAAATCTAAAAGCTGATTCCTGCCAGTGTTTGTGGTTGCGGATGGGTAAAAAAAAATCACACTAGAAAAAAATATTATGTTAAAAAAAATTATGAAACTCTAATACTACTGTATTACCTCATATATATATATATATATATATATATATATATATATATATACTCTAATCTTACCACTTTTTCTATCAAGTTTTAGTCTTCTTACCATAATCATCGTTTTCATACAAGTTGAATAAAGTAAAAATACAAGCGTAAGTGCTATAATATTTTGGATAAATTGAATCTATTAAAGAAAATTTATATTATGCATATGACAAATCCTGAAGATCCACGTATTGGAGCAAATTATTTCCAGTTTGTTATATTAGTGGACACAATTTTGGGTGATATTCCCAACAATTAAAATAAAACATATCACTATAAAACTAATTAGTTTTTGTATAATTATTCAATATTTATTTAGTATAATAGTATAGTTTTGTGTTTTTTTTTTATAATTATATATTATATTTTTTTTTCGTAACTTTTATGTTAAACTGCTAATACATTCGTTGGTTAACTAGTCAAAAATGTCTCGCAAACAAAACCGCTAAATAACACTTAATCGTCCACTTTCACAAATTAATTGCTGTGTTTTAACCACAAATAATTATAAAGTACTAATAGTATGATTGCTTCTCATATTCTTGCTTTTTTATATTTTATATATATATATATATGCTTGGTCGTAACGTCTCTTTTTCTCTTAAGGGATTTATGGCTATATTTTTTCTCTTGAAGATCCAAGACTTCGCTTCAACATTTTTTTTCCTCTGGGAAATACTCTCTTACATGTGTATACGGTTAGAGCCTCATGGTAATATATATTAGCCTTATATTTGTTATTGATGTTCGTCTTTACCAGTAACTCCTTGATTTTGTTTTTGTTATTTTTTGTTTTTAAAATAACAAACATACAACTCAAGGATAGTTAGGGCCATGTTTATTTTATGACTTACTGGGACATGAAAATTCAAGTCTCTTTCATGAAAAAAATTCTCTCAATCACTATGTTTTTAGGAACCTTATTCTTTGTTCACAGTAATTATATTATTTCCCAACATAGTTGATTAGAAGGCTATGTTCAAAGATAAAAACAAGACAAAAGAATGCAACTTAGTAGTAGTCATTAGTGTGTGCAACTTAATAACGGGGTCGTTACTCGTTCGTCATAACGTTTAAAGTTAGTCTTTAGTCATTTAGAGTGTAACGGTGTTTGTTCAAGAGCAATTTAATATTCAAATAATTTAGTCACCTGAGTTTCTTAATAATTAAACTCTTAAATTTTGTATAGCCAGAACATTTTTCTACGAAATTAATAAAATCAAGTTTCTGTGAGATTAGAATAATAGTATTAGAAAATAGTCCTGTGTGTGGACACGGGTCTTTAGCTAGTTAATCACAAAAAAGAGTATTTATATTTTAAAAGTTTTGGAGATATATCCTAAATCCTAATACGATACTATATCTTTCTTACATATGTAGACTAATACTCCATTTGTATATATCTTTACAAGTTAAATAGAAAAATAAAATTGAATTCTTCAATTAGGTTATATTAATGGCTGTATGTATATATAAGTAAGGAATTGAGATCAAAAACAAGAAACAGGAGGAGACTCTCTAATCTTACCACAAGTTGTCGTTTCTTCTTTGTTGGAGCCATAGACTTATCTGCGTATGTCAATTTTCCCAACGACTTATCTTTTTACTCTACTTAATATCTCTGAGCCTAGTGTGACCAATATCTCGACCCTCTTATTGTATACATAGATGTTGCAATAAACAATTGGCTTCTTTTCTGTTATTTATTGCTTGTTTTCCTGAATGAAGTTAGGTTTTTGTTTCTCTCTTGTGCTAACTCTCAAGGTGTTGAGAGTTTTCTCTTTGTTACACAGAGCCTTTTAGTCGCTTGTAGCATAAGTCATTTTTTTTCTTTTTTATTGGTGTTTGCGTTTTCTGATATCGTCTGTATAGAATAAAAACCAAACTATATTAGAGCTAAGATCACTTATGATTTTACCATTACACAATGCAGCCTCCAACACTGCATTATGGCTAGGCTCCTGGCTAATTTTACAGCCCGTCCTCTACTTGGTCCCGGAAGACATCTCCAGCCCGAAGAATACAGAAAACCAAGAAGTTGTGTGAAGATGATGTCCAGCTTACACGCACCTGTTTTGAGTATCCAGAACTACTCAGGGTTAAGGGTTAACAATGCAGTGGATCTTATGGCAAGTCACAGTCAAGATTTCTTTGCTAAGGTTAATATTTCATTCTCATCCCCGAAAGGAAAAGCTAGCCGATGTGTAACAAAAGCCATGTTTGAGCGGTTTACCGAAAAAGCAATTAAGGTCATAATACTGTCTCAAGAAGAAGCTCGGAGACTTGGCCATACTTATACTGGGACTGAGCATATACTGTTGGCTCTGATTGGGGAAGGGACTGGAATCGCTGCAAGGGCTCTTACATCAATGGGGATCAATCTTGAAGATGCTCGTGAAGAGGTGGAAAAGATCACTGGAAGAGGGAGAGGAGATACGCCGGTGGAGATCCCATTTACTCCTAGTGCAAAGAAAGTCCTCAAGTTTTCAATAGAGGAAGCTCGACAACTAGGTAAGGATCTATTTTTCAGTATTTAGGCTTGGAGCTTTTTATATCTTGTGTATTACATATGCCTTCTTGACTGATAAAAATTGCAACTTTTGTTATTTTTGAATTCTAGGGCATAACTACATTGGGACAGAGCATCTTCTGCTTGGTCTTCTTCGTGAAGGGGCAGCTCGTGTTCTGGAGAATTTGGGTGTAGATCGTAGTAACATCAGGACGAAGGTAGACGCATTATTTCTCTGAATTTTCACTTTCATGTTATATATATATATATATATATGTCTTAATTAGGAAACAATTCTTGATTACATTTTGAGTATTATCAGGTTATACGTATGGTCGGGGGAAACAATGAAGTCACAGTAAGCGTTAGTGGTGGATCCAGCGAAATACCAACACTAGACGAGTATGAGACTAACTTAACTGAAACGAAAGGGCTTTTTGGGCGGTTTAACGAGAAAGCAATTAAGGTCGTAATGCTGTCTGAAGAGGAAGCTCGGAGTCTTGACCAAAACCATATAGGGACTGAACATATACTGTTGGGTCTGATTGGGGAAGGGACTGGAATCGCTGCAAGGGTTCTTACATCAATGGGGATCACTCTTGAAGATGCTCGTGAAGAGGTGGAAAAGATCACTGGAAGAGGCAGAGGAGTTTCGCCGGTGGAGATACCATTTACTCCACTTGCAAAGCGTGTCCTGGAGTTGACACTAGAGGAAGCTGGTAAGGATCTGTTTGCTGTTTGTAAGTAATCAGGCTTGGAGCTTCTTATATGTAGCTTTTCTTGTTACTGATAAAACTTTCACATTTCTTATCATTCTAGAGCATGATGACTACATTGGACCAGAGCATCTTCTGCTTGGTCTTCTTCGTGTAAGAGAAGGTGTTGCAGGTCGTGTCTTGGAGAATTTGGGTGGAGATCATAGTTACATCCGGTTGAAGGTAAAATGCATCAGTTCTTGAATTCTCAAAATTATTGTTATCTCTTTCTTATGAAACAATTTGTTGATTACGTTTTGAGTATAATATTTGTTTTACAGGTTCTAATTAGCATAGTCAGGGGAAACGATGACTTCACAAGCTAGGACTGATGGAACTTTCACGTTTAGTTCTTTATGTCTTCTAGATCATCACTCGACATTTGTTCATTACTTTATTTAGCTCTTTATGTCTGTGGCAAAAGCTATAAGACAAATATACATAACAAATAAGACAGTTGAGATTATTACCCTTTATTTTTCTACTCATGTCAAGGATTAGTGATCTAGAGTTGATCACTACTTACAAACATTGGCATTGCCTACATTTATATACACACAATAAAACGTTGAAACCAAAACAACTCAAATATTAAAGAAGAAGATAAAGTCCTCACAGATAAAATTATTTAAAAAAAAACATCAAAGATGAAGAGAGCTCACTTCATCAACCTTCCACTCTCCTTCTTCATACTTGTACCATCTCACAATCCCTTCATCATTCTCAGTCCTCTGACACATCACACAAGTCTTATGCTCCATACATGTCAAGAACCTCTTCAGCCTCGAAGCTTTCTCCATTATCGTCTTATCAAGCTCTCTAACAATCACTTTCTGCTGTGGTTGCCACCCGCTATACTCCACGAGGTGAGAGTGCGAGATGTTAAGCACTTCAAGATCCGGCAATCCATCAAGGATTTTCATCAGCGCTTCACGTTTTATCGCAGAGCATCTAAGGCTAAGGGTTTTGAGGTTTGGGAGACAAGTGATGAGCGTGTTTGCAAAGAAGATCTCGAATGGACCCATGATCTTGAGCTCTTTGAAATTCTTGCAGTTCTTGGCGATTTCTGTCAAGAGGTAAGGAGGGTTTGCGATGCTTGGCATTGTTAGTGACTCGAGATCTTTCCAGATTCTTATTGCTTTGCATATACCGGTCTTCTTTATTCTGTTCCAAGCCGGTAAGACAACTCGTCTCAATCCTGGACATCTGCCAAAATTGAGCACACCAAATCAGCACAACAAAGTTTTATTATATTTTCGAAAACTGCATAGGAAACGAGACTTACCTTTCTGCAGTGTAAGTAAGCTGATCATCACTCAAGAACAAGTTGAAATGGAAGATCAAGGTCCTTGTGTTTCCTCCGCTAAGGTTCATGGAAAGTTTCAGGATCCTGGTCAGGGCCTCATCAGATCTGCGTTCCACATAGACATAAGGCTCTAGTGGGATCTTGATGAAACTAGATCTCATGTGGGACAAATCAAGCGTCTTCCACAGGATCGGATCACAGCAAGCAGCTCTCCATCCTCTACAAACATGAGCTAATCCAGAAGTCAACTCAAAGACGCTAAATTTCTGGAAAATCCTCACTAATATGTCAGTGTCCAACTCTTCCCATCTCCTCACTCGACGACTCTCATACTCTTCTTCCATTTTTCTTGATGTGCCCTAAGCAAGCATAAGAAACGTTAATTAACTGTTCTAATTCTTTTGAAAAACACAATGATTCCTTAAAACATCTTTATTGATCATAAGAGACCCCTTGTACAGGGAACGATAAAATCAAAATCCTAAAAGGAAATACTTTAGGCTGAGAAAAAAAAGGAAAAACAACAAAACCACAATCCTTATTGAATTAAGGAAAACACCTCAAAGCTTAGTTCTTTCGTAGATGATGCCATAACGTGTATCAAAATCATATTGAAATAAAGAAATAAACAAAAGATACTTCTGAATTATTATTTTTACCAGAAAGTTGATAAACAGAGCTCAAACAGAGTATTCAAAGTCGAACCACGAAAAAGAAATCCTAGTTAAACAAGAACTGAAATCAAAAATAAAACGAGTAACAAACTTGATAATTATCTAATATACAGCGTATATTGATGCAAAACATACTGCTTTTGAAATTATTATGATCGAAACTCATGCAGTAACTGAATTAGCAAAGAACTGAGGAAAAAAGACACAAAAATCATTAAAAAAAAAGATTCCATTAAAATGTCAAAATTGAGTGTTTGATCAGAGAGCTAAAGAAAACAGTAGAATTATGCAAGACATAAAGGATTCGAGAAGTCAGAAACCCAAGCTAAAAAAACAAAAACTGTCCAAGAAATTCGAGATCGGCCATTAATTAGAACACATCACATCAACGCAGGCACATAAAAGCTCAAAAGAACAAAAAATCAATCGAAATTATATGTAAAGACACATAATTAGAAAACTCAGAGGACCAAGATCGTGAACTCAGTAGAAAACACAGAATCACGCAAAAATCTTATGTAAACGGAATCAAATTTGGAGAATCCAGAGGACAGAGATCGTAAACCGTCAAGACTGTATAGACAAACCGATCTGATTTCTTGACATTCCCAAATTTGATCGCAATGAAAACGTATAACCCGACATAGATCTCGAATCACCATTTCTCAATTCACAATCGAGATGAAACAAACGAAACCAATAAAGGATTCGATGATTTAAAAAAAAAAAAAACAACAAGAAGCTGAAACACGCAAAGGAGCACTGAGAAAATTAAGAACCTTTCGAAGAGCAAAAATCGTTGGCGACGACGACGACACCGTTACTAATCTCTCTCGCTCACTCTAGCCAACGAAAGTAGATATGAAAAAAAAAAAAAAAAACAGAAAAGAGAAATTGATGTCAGAATAATCGGTTTTCTTTGGTTTACTATGTCTTGGATTTGATTTGTTTTGGTTTGATGGAGTTTTCAGACAAAACCGGTCTCACTCAACACAAAAGTCACAAACCCTTGAGAGCCTCCTTATCCTTAAAGATCGAGATTCGTTACAAAAAGTAATTGAATCTGACGGTGCAAACTACTCTGAATAATCTAACGGCTGATATGAAACCTTTGGTAGGTGGGTGTTGTATACAAATGAACGGCGTCGATGCTTGTAGAAGACGAGATAAAGAGTGATAAAAACTTGAGAGAGAAAGAGGAGAAAGAAAGAAATCTCTTCAGCTTCCTATCTCTTTCCCTGAGACGGGCCGACCAGTAAAATATAGCCTCTCGCTTTCTCCCACTTCTCAATCCAAAGGCCAAAGGCGTCGACGGTAAAACCCAAAACCCTTTTCTTTGCTACATACTCTGCTCCCCTTTCTCTGTCTTCTCTTCTTTTTTTTTCAATTTTTCGTTTGTGGGTTCTGTGTTTCGCTGAAGAAGCTTCCGTTTTTCTCTTGTTTGAGTTTTAAAGGTGGACTTTTTCTATTTCTCAGGTCGTTTGTTTTGGTGGTTTCATTTTGAGTTTTAGGAGTTTGGGTACTCTTCATTTGCTTGTGTTGATTTGGAAAAAAATGCTTGCAAAGAAGATTGAGATTAAGGTTGTGTATTCGTGTATTGAATCAACCCTAATCTCAATCTTCAACCCAAGCAGTTTTTTACCAAATCAACACAATCAAATGAAGAGTACCCAAAACTGTTTCTTATGTAAAACTAAATGTCTGATTCATTTCAAACGCATTGTAAGTTAGTATCACAACGTTTCTTGGATTTGGTGTATTTTCTCTTTTTTTTTTATTTGGTTAGAGACCAGAGAAAGGTTTGGCATTTAATACGCAGAGCTTTAGACTGCTTGTAGCTTTGTTTTTTTTATGAAGTTTGCGTTTTTCAAATCATCTTTAAAGTTTACACATAATAAAAACCAACCTTTATCTCCTTGTTGTCTTTTATATCGGTCTTAACCTATAATTGAGCTAGATCACTTATGATTTTACCATTAAACAATGCAGCCTCCAACTCTGCATTATGGCTAGGCTCTTGGCTAATTTTACAGTCCGTCCTCTACTTGGTCCCGGAAGACATCTCCAGTCCGAAGAATACAGAAAACCAAGAAGTCGTGTGAAGATGATGTCCAGTTTACACGCACCTGTTTTGAGTATCCGGAACTACTCAGGGTTAAGGGTTAACAGTGCATTGGATCTTATGGCAAGTCGCAGTCCAGATTTCTTTGCTAAGGTTAATATTTCAATCTCATCCCGGAAAGGAAAAGCTAGCCGATGTGTACCAAAAGCCATGTTTGAACGGTTTACCGAGAAAGCAATTAAGGTCATAATGCTGTCTCAAGAGGAAGCTCGGAGACTTGGCCATAATTTTGTTGGGACTGAGCAGATACTGTTGGGTCTAATTGGGGAAGGGACTGGAATCGCTGCAAAGGTTCTTAAATCCATGGGGATCAATCTTAAAGATTCTCGTGTGGAGGTTGAAAAGATCATTGGAAGAGGCAGTGGATTTGTAGCAGTTGAGATCCCATTTACTCCTCGTGCAAAGCGAGTACTGGAGTTGTCACTAGAGGAAGCTCGACAACTCGGTAAGGATCTGTTTCTAGTTGTTAGGCTTGGAGCTTTTTTATATGTTGTGTATAACAGAAGCTTTCTTGACTGATAAAAATTGCAACTTTTGTTATTTTTGAATTCTAGGGCATAACTACATTGGGACAGAGCATCTTCTGCTTGGTCTTCTTCGTGAAGGGGAAGGTGTTGCAGCTCGTGTCTTGGAGAATTTGGGTGTAGATTCTAGTAACATCCGGACGCAGGTAAATGCATAAACTCTGAATTGTCACTTCATGTTATGTCTTAGAAAACAATTCTTGATTACATTTTGAGTATTTTCAGGTTATACGTATGGTCGGGGAAAACAATGAAGTGACAGCAAGCGTTGGTGGAGGATCCAGCGGAAACAGCAAAATGCCTACACTAGAAGAGTATGGGACTAACTTAACTAAACTAGCAGAGGAGGTAAGAAAAATGTCTTACTCACCTTTTAATACCTCTCAAGAAAGTGTCAAGTTAACACTTTCTGTTGCAGGGTAAACTGGATCCTGTTGTTGGAAGGCAACCGCAGATCGAACGAGTGGTCCAGATCTTGGCTCGAAGAACCAAGAACAACCCATGTCTTATTGGAGAACCTGGAGTTGGTAAGACTGCAATAGCTGAAGGACTCGCGCAGAGAATTGCCAGTGGCGATGTTCCTGAAACAATTGAGGGGAAGACGGTAATAATTCTCCCATTGTATCATTTATAATGTTTTCAAGATGCTGAGAAGAGAGTCCACATATATATGTTTTGATGTATTGACCTTTACATTTCTCTTTTGTTTCAGGTTATAACCCTTGATATGGGTCTTCTAGTAGCTGGAACGAAATATCGTGGAGAATTCGAGGAAAGATTGAAGAAGCTTATGGAAGAAATCAGGCAAAGTGATGACATTATTCTGTTTATTGATGAAGTGCACACGCTGATCGGTGCAGGAGCCGCCGAAGGTGCAATTGATGCTGCTAACATTTTAAAGCCAGCTCTTGCAAGAGGTGAATTGCAGGTATATTTTCTCATTCCTTTGTATTGGTTTAATGATGTCAAAATCAATAAAACTTTGAAACTCAATAGGCTTTTTTTTTGTTTTGTAGTGTATTGGTGCAACAACATTGGATGAGTACAGGAAGCACATTGAGAAAGATCCTGCATTGGAGAGACGGTTCCAGCCTGTGAAGGTACCTGAACCTACTGTAGAGGAAGCTATACAGATCTTGCACGGTCTCCGTGAACGATACGAGATTCACCACAAGCTCCGGTACACCGACGATGCCTTGGTTGCTGCTGCACAATTGTCACACCAGTACATCAGGTTTTTGTCCTTTTCTATAATATTTTGACAATGTTTTTAGACAAGTTGCAGCATGCATTTTCTCAACCTAATTTCTTCTCTTGAATGAATAGTGATCGGTTTCTTCCGGACAAGGCGATTGACTTGATTGATGAAGCTGGGTCTCGGGTTCGACTACGCCATGCTCAGGTTCATATTTGCATTTACGCGCATTAAGAAAGAATCGTCTTTTGTATCTATTTGAGCTGATTCAGAAAGGAATTTTTTTTTTGGTTTAGGTCCCTGAGGAAGCTAGAGAGCTTGAAAAGCAACTCAGACAGATCACTAAGGAGAAGAATGAAGCTGTGCGAGGCCAGGACTTTGAGAAGGTATCGTCTTCGTGTTTATCTGACTGTCTAAGATTGGTGTTTACAATTTCCCTAACTTCTTCTTCGACAGGCTGGTGCTCATCGTGACCGTGAAATAGAGCTTAGGGCTGAGATTGCTGCTGTTTTAGCCAAAGGCAAAGAAGTGAGCAAAGCCGAGACTGAAGCTGAAGAAGGAGGACCTACTGTCACTGAATCCGACATCCAACACATTGTCTCAACCTGGACAGGAATCCCGGTAGAGAAAGTCTCGTCTGATGAATCTAGCCGTCTTCTCAAAATGGAGCAGACCCTTCACACAAGAGTCATTGGCCAAGACGAAGCCGTCAAAGCCATTAGCCGGGCCATCCGCCGTGCACGTGTTGGACTCAAGAACCCGAACCGCCCGATCGCTAGTTTCATCTTCTCTGGTCCGACCGGTGTGGGGAAGTCAGAGCTTGCCAAAGCCTTGGCTGCTTACTACTTCGGTTCAGAGGAAGCAATGATCCGTCTCGACATGAGTGAGTTCATGGAACGACACACTGTTTCAAAACTCATCGGCTCACCTCCTGGTTACGTAGGATACTCAGAAGGAGGTCAGTTAACTGAGGCGGTTCGACGCAGGCCTTACACACTTGTCCTCTTCGATGAAATCGAGAAAGCACATCCAGATGTTTTCAACATGATGCTTCAGATCCTAGAAGACGGGAGACTAACCGATAGCAAAGGAAGAACCGTTGATTTCAAGAACACGCTTCTGATCATGACTTCGAACGTAGGAAGCAGCGTGATTGAAAAAGGCGGTAGAAGAATCGGGTTTGATCTGGATTACGACGAGAAAGACAGCAGCTACAACAGAATCAAGAGTTTAGTGACTGAGGAGCTAAAGCAGTATTTCAGACCGGAGTTCTTGAACAGGTTAGATGAGATGATTGTTTTCAGACAGTTGACGAAGCTTGAAGTCAAGGAGATTGCTGATATAATGCTTAAAGAAGTGGTGGTGAGGCTGAAAGACAAAGAGATTGAGCTTCAGGTTACTGAGAGGTTTAAAGAGAGAGTGGTGGACGAAGGATTTGACCCGAGTTACGGTGCGAGGCCGCTTAGACGAGCTATTATGAGGCTTTTGGAAGACAGCATGGCTGAGAAGATGCTTTCAAGAGACATTAAAGATGGAGATTCTGTGATTGTTGACGTTGATGCAGAAGGAAGTGTGGTTGTGTTGAATGGTAAAAGTGGAGGTGGTGGTGGTTTTGTGGCTGGAGAAGCCATGGAAGAAGATCCAGTTCCTGTGTTGTAGAAGGAAACACAAGGGTTCTAGTCTTCTAGAGATTATTCTTTCCTTTTTAAGTGGTTATTGAATTGTGTCTCATTTTAGTCGCTTTTGTTTTCTACTGTTTTTGTTTCTGGATATTTGATTGTTCGCTCGGGAACTAATGGAAAATTTCCCACAAAAAAAATGAAGGGATTTTTTAATTTTGCAGTGCCTCTTCTTTTCCCAAAACTTGTTGGATTTGAAAATAAGAATACCAAAGCTTACACAGGCAACTGTGAAAAGTAAAAGGAAAAAAAAAAACAATGGCACACAGATTCTTCGTGAAACTTACATGAAGAGAAATATACAAAACGAAAATTTCATTCTATCAGAGAGAGAGAAGAAACAACAAATTATAAGAGAGGAAAAACTTTAATACTATGAATCAGCGTCGAGATCGTGATTCGAAGGAGAGGAAGTAGGAGATGGAAGCTGATCGATTTCTCTTCGAGAAGCTTCCCATAACTGTTGCTCTATGCCCAGTTTCCTTAGCTCTGTTAAACCTCTTTCCACTGAAGACCAGCAAAATGAAAAACTTTAGTTTATCACTATGAATTTATACTTCTAGCGCTTTTAGAGCAAAACACAGAAATGGGCAAGTCTGGTTACCATCCAAGGAATCGTGAGAAGTCGGAGATTTCCCGTTGCTACGGCTGATCCATAACTGGAAACGTTCCTCTGCAATGTCTTCTTCCACACCATGTAACTTAGCTCTGCTCCAGAAGTACAACAGCCATGCCTGCAGTAGCGTAAATGAAGGAATCAAGACAACATTTTAACTGATACTACATTGTTTGGACTTGTAAGTTCCGTAGCTCTACGTCCTCTTTCTAGTTAGGGCAAAACCGCAGTTAAGATGCCAATGGATATATCCATCATGATCCAGCCATATAGATCTTAGAATCAAACTGATGTTGAGGTGTGGCTAATTTTTGTTCGATATGGTAATTTCTCAATGTGATGAAATAATGCAGGTTGATCACAGACAATCTGACAATGAGCAGAAGGCATGCAACATGGAAGATAGTGTCCGTTCAAAAAGTGAATTGAAAGACAGTGTATATGACGATGAGATGTACCTGCTTAAACGTAACGTCTTCTTGTTCCGCTTCACCCAATTCTGCATTAAAAAACAATATGAGAACATTGCTAAAAAAAATCAGGATAAGCTAATGACGTTGAGGTGATCTTCTCTCTCTCAGGAATAGAGAGACTTTTCCCCTTACCATATGCATCTATAAATCTGGACTCTCCATGACCTTTGGAATCTGTCAGATGAAAACAAAAAAAATTAACATTTACTTTTAGTTATGGAGGATGCCATAAATCTATTGCACTAGTCTGGATGTGCCCACGTAACACTGGAGACATACTAAGAGTAAAAACGAATACATAAAAAAATTGAACCAGATGCAGGACGTGACAGTCATTCAAGGTGCAAGTGTCTCATAAAGAGCTTATAGGCGTTTAAAAATTTTAAGAAGCGAACAAAAAGTGAAGCATGTATTTTTGTTGTGCGTTATCCTGGTGTTAAAAGCTCGTAATAACATACCAGAAGCAGTGTGACGAATCAAACTTGGTTTTCTCTGCTGGGCGAATGCAAGCATGATAGCATCCTCAACCTGAATTTCAAAAGAGAGAAGAAGATTTCAAACGTTGTCCTTGGAGATCTATGCTAGGTGACAGCATTTATAGGTAACTCAGAAGCAAGAGTGGACACCTTTAATGATGCTAGCTCTCTCAAACCCATCTCAACTGAAAGCATACTTTCAATGTTTCCTTCTCCAGTAAGATCATTCAAATCTCTAGCAGCCTTACTCCGATCATTCCCACCTGCATTATTTCATATGCTGGTTAACAAATTTTGCGGACAACAGTAAGCAAGGAAAACTTTAATAGTTAAACTTATAGCAGATATTAGACGAGCCTTTATCCGAGGATAATTCCTTGGCCTTCTGTGCTGCAGAGGTGACAAGTTCAAATGGAAGAGGAGCCAACGCTGACCAGTGCTCATGCCTGGACGGTGCTATATCCGCACAAATGCCTACGGAAGGATACCATAGAAAAAATGCAAATATCTGTGAACTTGTGAATAACTACCATACCACAAATATGTGGTTTGAACTATTACTGGATGAAAATGAACGGTGTATCATGATATATTTTCTTGGTTCAGAATAAAATAAGTTTAGGAACGGATAAATCGCCTACCATGTTGTACAGCCAAATCCCAATACCGGGCAAGCCAGCATCTCTTTAGGACTACTTCTTCCTATAAGATTCAATAATTTACAGATTAGAAACTTATAAATGATTAGAAGATAACGAAGAAACCCAAGCTATATCACCAAACCATTTCATCCTGTGTTAAAATCATTCTTTGAGTCATAGTGCGAAGAGACTTCGCTTCAGACTCCGCTTCTTGAAGCCTTTCTGCAGCAGTTATAGCCTCGTCTTTCAAGCTCTGAACATAGCAGGGAATAATAAGAGATGGTTTCATCATGCAAATAGTAGTGGTACACGTAATAGAAACCAGTACATCAGTGTACCTTACCTCAAGTTCTGAACGTAGGGAAACAATTTCCTCATCCTTCCCATTCTTTTTCTGTTTAGCAACATTTAGAGCAGCCTGTAACAGGTACAATTCTTATGCACAGCTTAAATCATATGTTTTACATAAAGTGTACATCTAAGACTTTGATATGGGATCAGAATGGTGGATAAAGAAACTCGAGTAGAGAGAAAACCAAATCTGAGCAGAAAATAGAGTGACCGAAATTTATTTCTGTTCACACTAACCTCTCTTTGACGCAATGCTGCTTCCTTCCTATAAAGATACAATTAGGCATGAGGGATCAAAACTACCACCCTATTTTTCGGAAAAGAGATAAACAAAGAGAAGCACAAGAAGGCACATGCTCCAACCTGCTTAACAATTTCGCTTCCAGAGACACTCCTTCTCCAAGAGAGGCAACCTTTTAGAAAGAAAAAAAAATGTAACCTTGTACAAGTGCCAGCACTTAAACATGTGATTTGATGTAACAATTGAGCAAACAAGCAAACACTAATTCTGTGTGCTAGACACGTCAAAATAAATTCCGTCCATTAGTATATGTTTTATCTAAAAATAGTCGGCATCTCCACCTGGATTCTCACTAAACCTGGCTAGACTAGATATTAGTCAGAGTATAAGTTAATAGCATATGTATACGCTCAGCATCTCCACCTAAATTGTCATGAACTGAAGGAATGGTGAATATTCACATTCTATCCTTAAAACAAACCTAAATGCAGAGAAAGCAACGAGAGGTTGGAGGTTGCTTCAGCACGATAAGGATAGCTAACTTGAGTTTAATAGATATTGTCAACAGACAGATGTAAACGAGTGGACTATCTTATTCCCCTCTGAATTTCAAGAAGCAACATCAGTAAGAAAAATGGACTACTCAACACAGCTTCAGAAACCTGTTTCTCGAGCTCCTTAGCCCTAGCTTCTGCTTCCACCCTCTTTTCTTCAGCTCGACGAAGCTGTAATCAAGAATACATGTTATGCACAACGGAGGTGAATGGCTTTATTATTTTAAAATAAGTTTCCATGTCATAAATCGCACCTTCTCTAATACAACCTCATTCTCTTCTTGTAGCATATCCAGCTGCAGTTAAAATTGAATCAGCCTCAATCAAACTGTAATGACTATAATGTCCAGTATGTGAATACAAGGTGTATTGACCAGATACCCCCAAAGGATAAAGAAAACATCACATACTTCATCACGAAGAGCTGAAGCTTCCCGCTGATCACCCTTTTCTTTTGAATTTACTGACGGTAAATCAGCAAAAAACCTAAAAACATCAAATATCAGGCATTAGCCGCAAGCTGCACAGCCAAAACCAGCGTCTACCACTATCTCGTTGAGTCTCAGTAACCCATTCACTTCCCATTTCTCGTGAACCTCTATAGCAAGGTTTTATATTAGGCTTTGAGGACTACATATTAAGTCAAGGAACAAAGAGATAATCTCCCAACTCCAAAGATTAATAAAAAACTTGTTTTGACATATTCCACTAAGCCACATGTTCCCTTGACTACCAAGATTTGAGAAGTATAATAAGATTCAAAATTCCTAAGAAATTCAAGACGAAAAAGCAACAAATTTTTCACCTTTTATCTCTGTTCCTAGTCGGAGGATCAAGTGGAGGAATAGGATTCGGAGCTTTCACCGACACCCTACTTGGAGGCATTAGATTATGAGTCGGAGTCGCAGTCGGAGTCGTGGATCTAGCAGACATCGACGGCCTTCCGGCCGAAGCAGAACGCACTGAAGGCACTTGCTCGGCGAAGTTCCTGCCTATCTAATTAAGCCATAAAAAGAAACCAATTAGCCCTAAAGCTACAACCAAACAACAGCTCATGACATGATTAAATCAAGCTGATCTGAGCTAATTATAGAAGCTGGGATACGAAATTCACCGCAGGCGACGGCGATCTAGTGCGGGGAGCGAAGGAAACAGCCGGAAAATTACTATTTCCGTTGCTGTTATTGCTTCCAGTGGAGGAAAGAGAAGAAGGTGCATGGCGAGCAGGTTTTAGTGAAGGAGATGCGAATCTGAGGCTTAGATCTTCATCCTCGTCTTCGTCATCTTCGTCCCCGTTGTCTTTGTTCTGCAAGGCCATGACCTGAGCTAATCGCTGTGCCGCCGCTTTGGCAGCTACGTTCTGTGTTCGCTTGACGGTGGAGAAACCTCCGACACCTCCGAGCTGTTTCCGGTGAGCAGGAGACATCGCCGGCGACGTAGACTCCGTACTGTTCGATGATTCGCTCCACTGGCGACCATAAACCGGGCTACCCGCCCTCCTCCGATCCATCAGTTTGCGTTAGTGAGGTTACTTGTTAGCCGGATTCAATCGAATCGAAGTATTAAGCGAGCAAAAAGAAGGTGAACCAGAGGAAAATGATTTTCTCGGGAAAAATGCTAGATTTTCTCGAGAAAAAAAAAAAAAAAAAAACCGAAGGAAAGAAGAAACCGTTCGGTGAGATTTGGAGAAAAGTGTTGAAATAATAGAGACGACGAAACGACACCGTTCGCTACGATACCCAACCGAGCCTCGCGGGAGAACAAGTGAGCTGGCCAGTGGCCACCGTGGTCGTGGGACCCAGAAGTCAAGTGCTGATAGATATTTTTCTATTTATATAATTCTTTATTATTATTTAATTTGAATTCAAAGGCAAGTTAGAAATGATATGATCTATGATTTGTACCATATAGTTGATATAATAAATCTTTAAATGAATCTGTCAACTTAATATGCGTATCATAAACACAAGAAGATACTGTTTTATATTGTATTTACATCATACTAATACTAGGAAATGTCAAAAATAACATACAAAATAAAGTATGAACTCTTTTTTAATATCAAAATAAGGACTATATTCAGTGAAAACGCAAAATCTTTGTTGACACGGAAAGAGTCGTGATAAACCAGTATTTGAATGTTCTGTGACGTCAGTCAAATGGTAAAAGATGCAAAATAATTAGTGGTAAATATGACATTTCATAACGAAACTCAGCACCTATAAATTCAGCTTGAGAGTTTCTCGCCTTTTCAAAAAAAAAAAAAAAACATTTCTCTTCCGACAAAAGAAAAGTAAAAAAAAAGACTAACAGAAAGAAAAATCTGTTTCTCCTCTCCGGAGATGTCGGAGACTAGCAACTCGAGCAGATCGTTGATCCCGAGCTTCCTCTACTCTTCCGATCAACGTCTGTTTCAGTCGTCGGAGCCAGAAACGAACATGACGCGGCTCAAATCATCATGGCCACTGATTTCTACGGATCTATCTTCAGTCTCATCGAACGGTCCAAGTTTAACAATTCCGGCGCCGAACGAGAAAGTAGAAATGTACTCTCCGGCGTATTACGCGGCGTGCACGGTCGGCGGGATGCTGAGCTGTGGCGTCACTCACACGGCGGTTACGCCGCTCGATGTCCTCAAATGCAATATGCAGGTCAAGTTCCAAACCAACTGTGTTTACTTTTCTTTATCAGAACCAACTATATATTCGTATTAACATTTTCGAGCCACGTATGTGGTGATTAAATATTCAAAAATGTTTTTTTTTCAAGCCAAAAACAGTTGAATATGAGATTGTTTCAGGAAAAAATAACAAACATGTTGATGTTTGTGACAGAATGTTTGTAAATGCTATTGCTCTGTGGTGGTTGTTTACTAATCTGAAATTATATTCTATTATTTATGAATTATTCAACTTTGGTAAAGTTTTTTTTGTTCCACTTTACACCTGGTGTCAATTTTGTCGAGTTTCGTGTTTTCCACGGCATTGACTCTTTTAACGTCAACACCATGAGAGACTTTTCTGTCTCGTGGATGATTTGATGTGCAATCAGAGAGACTTTGACCTAAAGTTTACAAACATAATCTGTTTACTATTTCAGATTGATCCATCAAAGTACAAGAACATAACTTCTGCTTTCAAGACAACGATCAAAGAACAAGGGATCAAGGGTTTCACTAGAGGCTGGTCACCCACACTTATCGGGTACAGTGCACAAGGAGCGTTTAAATACGGTCTGTATGAATACGCCAAGAAATACTACTCAGACATCGTTGGACCAGAATACGCAGCCAAATACAAGACCCTGATTTACCTCGCTGGCTCAGCCTCTGCGGAAATCGTCGCTGATGTGGCTCTCTGTCCAATGGAAGCTGTCAAAGTCAGGGTCCAGACTCAGCCTGGTTTCGCCAGCGGTTTATCTGATGGTTTACCAAAGATCATTAGATCAGAAGGCGTTCGCGGGTTATTCAAAGGGCTTGTTCCTCTCTGGGGACGCCAGATTCCATGTAAGTCCCACATTTCTAAAGAAATTCTAGTGTCCAGGAGATGAGAGTTTCACTTTTGAGGTTTTGACAGATACGATGATGAAATTTGCTACTTTTGAGAACACTGTGGAGCTCATATACAAGAAGGTGATTCCTACACCAAAGGAAGAGTGCTCCGAGCCAGTTCAGCTCGGTGTTAGCTTTGCCGGTGGATACATTGCTGGAATTTTCTGCGCTGTTATCTCACATCCTGCAGATAACTTGGTCTCTTTTCTCAATAACTCTAAAGGAGCAACTGTTGCTGATGTAAGTGAAACTCCATACCTCACCAGAATATAAAACAGCTCAGAGCCATCCACTGATCTGCTACTGACTTGGTTTTGATTCTTTCTCGTGGTACAGGCAGTAAGTAGGTTAGGGTTATGGGGTCTGCTTACCCGTGGCCTTCCTCTCCGTATTTTCATGATCGGAACACTCACTGGAGCCCAATGGGTTATCTATGACGCTGTCAAAGTTTTAGCTGGATTGTAAGTTTTCCTTACCTGCACGTAGAGATATTTCTCATCAATACTCAAATCACTATAATATCAACATATGAGAAACATTCATCAAATACCTATGTTTTTCTCGTTTTCTCAGGCCAACCACAGGTGGTGCTTCTCCAGCTACTGCACTTGCTCCAGCTGTAAGTGCATAAGATTACAAGGACTTTCCCCACGGAGACGTTACACTAGAGCAATAAAAGGGAAAAGAAAACTCCCAATGGTATTATTCTTATTTTGTTTCTACCTTGTAATATAAAATAGTGTTCTCTACATCTAGCTGTTCTGTTCTACATATGAAAGTCATTGACTCGATAGTAGTAAACGTAAATTTTCTTTTGCTTTCGACCATATCTCCGTTTAAAACCCAACCAATCCAAGAGGGATTATGATTCTTGAGATAGGTTTAATGGAAAGACTGTGTCGAAAACAACCCTAGCAAATACGTGTCTTACTTCTGGAAGGTCTCCTGAAGATAATGATGTATAATCAATTTTACTGTCTTGCTTGGGCACAAAACTCTTCAGCGCATTTTCTTTGACACATTCGAATAATCTTCTTGCATCTAGGTACAAATCCAACGGTATGAAAACCTATAAAAATAAAAGCAAACAATAGGAGAGAATTAGCACAGCAGCTAATCCAGGAAATTTTGAATCAAGAGATCCATTGCCTATAGTCTAGGCTCTCTCTCGAGAAGAACTTGCATTTCCATTTATGTAACTTGAACGTCCTAATGAAACTAAGAAAAGTAGGAGTGCTCTGCTTACCATATCAGAATATGGGGCCTGAGGGTACGCTGCCATAGCCTTAGAAATAAAAAATCCATCGGTCATCTGTCCCAAGGCTTCTTTGACAGCCAAATCAAAATCCATGACCTCATCTAATAAGGTTTGAGAGTCCAGCTTCTCTGGCTCAAGTAGCTCGAAGAAGCTTCTATTATGAGGTTTTGTGATTTTCCTGGTAATTTTTATAGCTTCTAGAACATCTCCACCATTGTGGACAGCAAGGCTGAACGCAGCAACCACTGAAGGATATCGAGGTTGAGCAGCAAGCGCTTTGTGAAGAGCCAAGATTGCTAACCTGCAAATTCCCAACACAACATTGTTGGGTATTAATTACAATATTATCCTCCACTGTATATAAGAAGAATAGTGCCTACAAGATCTTAACAGGCAAGGACCTTACCATAAGCTGCTGTGGCAAGGTCTATCCGGAGCCAACAATTTATCCAAATTGGCGAAAAGAGACTGCATTGTGAAATGTTAATTATAAGTTTTTTAGTTGATATTTTGAGCAATAGATATTTCTCTCTGACGAATATTGCAAAATGTGCATCTGCATATTACCAGAAGCATATTAGTCCTCTTGTCGCGTCTCTTGAATCCACTGTGTACGAAATATGCTGCCTGTGGAAATTGAAGTAAGATAGACGCAATGATACGATAAAGTACAGCAAGAGACGAGTGATATCACCAACCTGAATTGGTAAAAGAATTTCTAGTATCCCAAATTTCCATAACAATCTTAAAGAGGCTTCTGCTGATCCATATGCTAACATGTAATTCATTTCCATCAAGATTCTTCCCTACACATTTCGCAGAGTCATTCATGAACAAGATGTAATACAAATGCGAATACATTATTTCTTAGTGGAGAGATGGAGTAACGTAAGCCTACCCTGTGGAGTCTTTGTACTAAGAAGGAAAGCTTCTTTACGAAATGAGCTGTTTCCTTGGAAATTGTGAAACCTAAACGCGCAGCGATTCTTGTCCCACGAAGAATCCTGGCTGCAAAATGTTACATAATGATAAGCTTCCATTATATGGACTCTTAACAGTATTCAAACAAGAATATGATTTTGTAATGCTATGAAGAGTGTTTGTAGAAGAAGAATCCGAGCTGGAAATGTTACATCGATGATCTTTTTTTTTTTTTTTAGGAAACTCACCACAGTCCTCTTGAAAAGATATGCCAGCATGAACCACCGTTCGTACCTGTGAGCAAAGAACCACACTGAGAACAAATGTATTTGTAGATAATTTCCCGTACAAAAGGTAAAACAGAATACGTTCACACCTTAGCTTTTCTAATGTCTTCTATTCCCCCGAGATAGTCATATACAACTTTGGCATATGGATCAAACATCAGCCTGCGATCGGAAAAAAATCAACATAAACATGTAATATAATAAACTATCTGATCTCCATAATACTTGTGAGTTGGGATTCGACAGGAAAAATGAAGACTCTAAGTCCTTTCTCTGTTGAGTATAGGTGATCATCTAGAAATTAAATAGATACCCGTTAATTGTGAAATCACGCTGCAAGCAATTATTGAAACGGATAGAGTCCTCGTCACAGGAGCCATTAGATTTTTCAGAGCCAGTTCTCATGTTTCTTGGAGAATTTTGTGCAGAGGTGCTAAAACTCGAAACCTACTAAGAACGAATATAAAGGAGTTCAAAGAGAAATCAAATTAAAAAGTAACAGAGGTTTTTTTTTTCCTGCATTTGCTATGCTTACATTGGTATTAAAAAGAAAATCCTTGATTAAAAAAAAAAAAACCTCTATAATATCATTCCCAATGTGGACATGACATATAGGAAATCTTCTTCCAACAATTTCACATCTTGAGAAAGCCCGAACGACCTAAACATATAGCCAGGAAAATAATCCATCTTTGGATTCAGATTCAAAAGATGTTCAAGCGATGACTTATAGACTGGAAAAGAAAACAAGACCAACCTCTCTAAGTTCCGCAGAAGTGAGTATATCGAAATCTTTTGGCGTCTGCTTCAGAATAAGATCCCTTACACAGCCTCCCACAAGGTAAACGTTATGGCCTATACACATCATGGCAAACGAAAACTAATGTCAAAATCCACCAAGAGAAAAAAAAAAGGTTGAAGGAAATGTTTGAAATTTCATCATTTTATTCTATCAGAAGATCAAAGTATCAACCTTTACTCTTAAGGCCACTTAGCACTTGCCGCGCGGGCTTTGGAATCATAGAATTGGTTATCCCAAGCTCTTTTGAATTCAACTTCTTCCACTCTGGTGCTTTACCTTTCAACACAGTTACCCAAAATATACATATCAAATTAAGAGAAAAGATACGCAACAAAAATCGAAATCGTTGAGTGATATTTACTCAAAAGTAGTAGCACTATACTAAGAATAGATGCGTATACAAATGTCTACATAATAACTGAAACTGTAGAATTGAGTCCGATACTATCATCACTCAGTGATTATTCATAAATGGGTATTAAAAAGAGCCACAATTTTTGGATTGAATCCATCTAAATCACTGACGTAACTTACTCGCTCTATCAGAATCCTTGTGATGATGATCACTATCCTTGTCATCCACTGTTTCAATTGCTGCAGCCAAACCACTGTTGAACCGAACCTGAAAGCGAAACAACAAATTAAGAAACAAGGGGAAAAACAAATTTCGAATATACGGAAACGAATTACATAATTGTTAATTTTATATATAACTAAGAGCCACCTTCGTGAAGCAGTAAAACAGAGGACGAACAGGAAAATGGGATCTGCAAGCGAAACCCAGACTTGAAACCGCCATAGAAATCGAAAAGATTCACCATTTCATGATTGGATTTTGTGTTTATCAAGCTGCTGCTTCAATGGAATTTTAGTAGCAGAGATTTTTACAGAGATGGTAGGGTTTTGAGGATGAAAACACGAAAGGGTTTAAGTGCCTCGTGGTCAGTTTCATTTGATTTAACGTTCCATGAGTCAATGCCGTTTTCATCTAGCGCATTAGAACATCGTGTCGTTCCTTGACGTGTCTCTATTGTAAACAATCTCTGTGTTTTCAAGCATCTTAAGCTAATTACGCACCGTTTTGTATAGTGAACAAACTGTTGGCCGTCTCTAACTTTAATACGGGGACTACACGCTGTTTTCGCCAATGTTCATCGTCTCGGAACTCGCAGATCGGAACTTTCGAGTAGTTTAGTTTAGAAGATCAAGAAATTCACATCGTCTCCTGAAAAACACGAAGCAGAAACTTTCTGGGGAATCGATGAAGATCTTGCAACAGATATTCCTGTTAGCTTTAACTACTGGAATCTCTGCTGTTCTCATCTACATTATCGGCGTCTCGAATCTCTGTAAGTATAATCCTCCATCGTTGTCCCAATGTAGATGGTTGTAGTGTGTATTCGTGATTTTCTGAAGTATGGCGATGATTAATGATAAAGAAGATGATTCCGTGGGTTTAGACGAATCAAATCGGCTCAGCAATGAAGATTTAGCGGCGTTGCAGTCACTGCAAAACGGATTCCAGAAGTGCGTAGTAAGTAAATCTAATTTGGAGATCTATGTTAGCTTCATTTTCTTCTGTTATTAATTTCCACTTGTTTTCAATCAGCATCAGCCACCCAGGAATTGCTTTCTTGATCCGTTTCGAGTTAAATCTTACTTCTGAATCTGGAGATTAGTTTATTAGAACTGATCCAATTTAGTGTACTGTTTCTGGAATGGCTGGTTCAATTCTTACCGGAATCTATAGACGCTCAGAATTCGGGTTGCTTAGGTTGAGTCTTAGATTAGTGATGCAAATTTAGGTCCTGAGTTCAGTTTTCATCTTCAGTTATTAGTTATGAGTCGCTGTATTGCTTACTCTGTGATGCAAACTCTAGGTATATTTTTTTCTTCTAGATTTAGTGAAAGCAGCACTAGTTTTTATGGTGTATACAATGGTAATGATGCAGAATGCAAATGGCTTGGGACTACAAGCTGCTACTGGTAAAGATTACTGCCAAGTCTCAATAAATTTTCCCAAAGATACTGTGCCCAAATGGGTAAATGCTCTCTTCTCACTACTTTACTGATCTCAGTCGGATTACTTGACTTTATACACTCGCAGAGTTAAATTTGCCATCATACCCTTTATCTTCGTGTCTAGCAAAATGGTATATTGAATAGTTGTATTCTACCTTGTTTTTATGTCTGGATTATGTCCAACAACAGAAAGATCCCAAGTCTGGGGAGCTTGAAGGACTATCATATGAGTTTAATCTGTGCGAAGCAGTAGCTACATGGGAACAAGTAGGTGTTGCACTTCTTAAAGTCTCTGTAAATTTGCAGTTCATATCATTTGTTTTTAGTCTTTACAGTGGTGGTTAATTGGCGAGTTGGTTGACCAGGTCAGGAATAGCTCTACGATACTCACCAAGGAATACATTGATGCCTTGCCAAATGGATGGGAGGATTATGCATGGCGCAGAATCAATAAAGGAATTCAACTGTAAGTATTGAATGACATTAGACGAGGAATGAAGTGCATGATAATTGGTTCGTTTTCATAGACAACAGCTCAAAATTTGCTAAAATTGATGTCTCAGTCTCAATAACATAGTGTAAATTGTTGTGCTGTATTCTTCTTTTATTGGTCTTAATGGAACCCGCACTCTGGTACAGTAATCGTTGCCAGAATAAATCTGTATGTGTCGAGAAGCTTTCGTTGGTGCTTCCTGAAACACCACCATATTTCCCCCGGCAGTTTGAGCGATGTGCTGTTATTGGTAACTCTGGTGATCTCTTAAAAACAAAGTTCGGAAAGGAGATAGATACTTACGATGTGGTTATTAGAGAAAATGGTGCTCCAATTCAGGTTAATGATGAGTTCTTTTATCTAACTTCCAATTCTTTTGTTCCCTCTGTTCTCTCACTTATCTTCTTCGTTCTTCTTTTTTTTTGTTTGGAATATCTTCGTGCAGAACTATAAGCAATATGTAGGAGAGAAAAGTACATTCCGTCTTCTTAATCGAGGGTCAGCAAAAGCGCTTGACAAAGTCGTGGAGTTAGATGGTACTGTATAACTGTTTTTTTTTTTTTCCACTCCTTCATGATGATTGCCATTGTTTCTCTATTTCTGTTCGCTTGCAAATAGATTCTCCACTCTCTGATCCTTTGAAATTATGCAGAGAAAAAGCAAGAGGTACTGCTCGTAAAAACAACAATTCATGATATTATGAACAAGATGATTCCGGTTTGTACATTGCACTTATTTGTCTCTTAGCTCTTTGGTTTTAATTATCCAAAAGGTGTTCCTCAATTTCGAAACTCATTTGAGGATTCTTCTTTCTCTGCAGGAAGTTCCAATAAAAAATCCTGTGTACTTAATGCTTGGTGCTTCGTTTGGCTCAGCAGCTAAAGGAACTGGGCTCAAGGCTCTTGAATTTGCTCTCTCGACTTGTGATTCAGTGGATATGTACGGTTTCACTGTGGACCCAGGTTATAAAGAGTGGTATGAAGTCGACCTATATTTATTTTGCCTAGATGTCTACTAATTAACCATGTTTATGTTTTGCTGTCTGTTTATAAATCAGGTTTTACAGCAATCTCTTGTAATATTCTTTCAGGACAAGATATTTTTCAGAATCTCGACAAGGACATACTCCTTTGCATGGTAGAGCTTACTACCAGATGATGGAATGCTTGGGTGTAAGTCTCTGGTTTCTCGTTTTCCAGTTATCAAATACAAGTCGTTCCATTTTCTCTGTAGCAGATGTTAGAATTGCATTGGCCCGTTGTAGATTCAGAGATCCCTTCAAGCTTTTTGGTTTTGACTTGGTTCTATTCTTTTTATTAGCTCATTAAAATACACTCGCCCATGAGAGCTGATCCAAACCGAGTCGTGAAATGGGTGCCAAGCCGCGAAACAATTAGAACTGCAAGAATTGCAGCAGAGAAGCTCTTAAGGTAACCAAATACATCAGTTTCATCTTCATTCTTTTGCGCACATTATCTGCCTCAAAAACTTATCATCTCTCAAAAAAAACCCATTCAACGTGCAGGAGAGTTGGAGCAGGATCTGCAGACCCATTAGCTTCATGCTCGATAGTTAAGAAGAGAAGCAAAAACAAGCGTCCAATGGTCTCATACCTCAGGAAACCTGCGACCGACCATAAAAAATTTGTGAGAAGCACGACCATGTACCCGTTGGAGCACAGTCCAGGACATAGTCAGCTTTGCATTACACCAGCTGGCTAAAGAATTTGCCTTTATGGAAATCGATTTTACCCCATATACTAAAGCACAAAGCAGGTTCAATGGACAACGATAGATTCAAAAGCAAGTCATTGTATAGGGAGTCTAAGAGAGGTGAGAATTTTCCCTTGAGATTAGGATTTTGGTTATTTTGCCGAAATTTTCTTCACCAGAGATATAGGAAAATGTTATCCAGTTCTATCATAGAAAGCTGAGATAGAAGTGTGTGCTAGAGATTGCTTGTTTGATGACTAATTTTGGTAAATAGACAAATGTTTAAGATTTCGAGTAATCCTTGCTCTCAAGGCAACACATTAGGATCAAATGTGAGTGATTAAGCTTCTACAGTTCTTTCGATTCTCTCTTGGAAAAAAAGTCATGAGTACAGAACTAAAAAAATCTCACGTAAGATCTGAAAGCTAAAACTTAAACCTTGAATTATAAATTCATCAAAGGTTTCAATATCAGAACTTATATAGTTGTATACATCAGTGAACTATCTATCAATACACAAACGACTTTAAAATCAAACCTTGGCCAGAGAATCCAAAAGTTTTCTTCCCGAGCTCTTCTTTAGTAAACAGTCTTTTAAGCAGCTTCTCGACGGAGTGGAGTAAATGAATGTTGACCAAATAATCATATTACAACAGAAGCATGGCCAAAGCGCATCTGTCTCATCATATTTGCTTAGCAATCTCTCAGAAATGTATTTGTCAGATACAAAAAGCAGTCGTCTGATCTTTCTTGCAAGAATTGAAGTGTTTTCTTCGAGTTCTTGAAGATTCCAGCGACGACCCACAAGCCAAGCTTCCATGTCATCACAAGATTTCCATAAATCCACCGAGTTGATGCTTCTAGTCATACAGAGACTCAAATGGCTTCCCAACAAACTGAACAAGTTTAAATTGCCATATGGTAAACTGATCATGACTGATCATGAGCTCAAGTGTCATCGTGAATAAAACGATGAACCAATACATTCCATGTAGCAATACTTGGCACAATCCCTTCTCTTATCATCCTCTCAAGAAGAATCACCGCATCCTCCTTACAATCAGAGCTGCATAGACCCCATATCACGTTTGTGTATGAGATCACATCAGGCTGCCACTTTCTTCCTCCACATGAAACTTGATCCAACATCTGGACTGCCCTCTCAGCTTTCCCTTGTTTGCAATACGCTAACATCATCATATTCATCGTTATCTCATCCGGCGATTTACCATCGACCACCATTTTCCCCACTAGCTGCAGAGCTATCCCAGGGAGACCTGCATTGCACGATCCATGTAAAAGCGTGTTGTAAGTCGTTGAGCTCCATTCCACACCTCTCATTGATATCTCTCGGGTGAGACCATAAGCTTCTTCTATTCGGTTTGTCTTTGATAGCCCATCTAGTAGCTCATTGTATGTTACAATGTTGGGAGGACACCCGTATTGCTGCTCCATTTGTCTGAACACTTTCTCTGCCCAGTCAAGCCTCCCTGCATCGCATAAACCTTTGATAAATGCATTAAACGTCGTTACAGAAGGAGCGCAGTTTTCTTTGGACATAATCTCTATAAGAGATTCAGCTTCTTTGAACTTGGAGTGCCTACAAAGAGCTTGCACCATGCTTGTATACACCACAACATTTGGGGAGCATCCATGAGTTAGCATCTTATTCCATATCTCAACTGCTCCCTCGAGGCTACCTCTTTTGGCAAAGCCGTTCATAAGAGAACCATAGGTTCTGATGTTTGGAGAACATCCGTTTTCTTCCATATGTGAAAACACAGACAGAGCCTTTTCCATATTCCCAAAAGAACAAAATCCTTGTACCAAAGTATTAAACGCTACAACGTTTGGTAGTAACTCAAATCCTGTGATCATCCGGTTCCACAAGTCTAGGACATCAACAGTTGTACCTCTTACAAAACAACCCTTCACCAGAGAACTCAATGTATGGATGTTTGGATGACACCCTCGTTTCAACATCTGGGCCAGAAGCGAGAAAGAGAGCTCGATTTCTCCAGAGTTGCAAAGCGCATTGATAAGTGTTGAGTACGAGATAACATTAGGAGATATCCCCTTCTCCACCATTTCTCTCATCAGTTCAAATGCCCCTTCGTGATCATGATCTTTGCACAACCCATTAATCAAAGCGTTATAGACGCTCACAACAGGTTCGAATCTCGCCGCGAGTTCCCTCCCTTCCTTCACCATACCGAGCTCACACATCGATGATATCACTGTGGTGTAGCTCACAGCATCAGGTGAACAGCCTTTATTCGACATCTCCACTAGCAACTTCTGAGCTCCATCTACCTTGTTGTTCTTACACAAGGCCTTAAGAAGGACATTATACGTGAAAACATTTGGCTCAAACCCATCTCTCTTCATGTTTCTATAAACTGTATAAATCATCTGAAACCTATTCTCACCGAGTAGAGTATCCAAAACATGGTTATATATCTTAACCGAAGGATCACACCCGAATTCCTTTATCCTATAAAACATCTCCACGGCTCGTTCAGCCAAACCCACCTGCCTGTATACACTAATAACATTGACAAACAAATCTTCAGAACACTGAAAACCTTGGAGTTTCATTTGCTGCAAAAGATACTGAACACTATCAATCTGACCATCACCTGCAAGCTTTCTGATCATCACCTCGAATGTCAAAGGCGTGTGCTTGAAGAGATTTGAATTGGCAATGGATTTGAAGTACTGCAAAGCTAAAGGGACACATGACTCTTGTCTCAGCCTCTTTACCACTTCAAATTCTTTGATTTCTGTGGCAGGGTTTGGAGATTCCAGGAGCAATTTCCCGGTGAGATTAGTATTGAGGACAAATGGAATAATGGGTTTTTGAACTTTCAGCAGCAACGAACATCCTTCTTTCAGGTACATCACAACAAAAACCGGAATCAAAAGTTGAGAACTTTTGCAAATGTCCCAGAAACTCACCGATAAAAGAGTCTCCTTTTATCCAGAAACCAAAACGCACAATTTGATTTTCTGAAGTTAACAGTACTCTTTCAATGGATTAAGACGGAGACGGGATACTGAGCTACGGCTGGCAGCGACAAGGTTGGCCGGAGGTGACTTAAACGGCGGTGTTTCGTTTGAGGGTTTGCTCAGGATTTAGGATTTTCCATTTTTCAGTTTTGTCTGTTTCTGGTCAGATTTTGTTTTCATAAAAAAAAACTAGTGAGAAAGTTACGGATATTGATGAAAACCCCCTCAATTTCTGCCAAATTCATTTTTAAAACCCTTAAGAATAGTTTTATTTAAGACATTAAAAATTAATTCTATGTACTTATGTAGGTTGAGAGCAGAGCACCCTACAAATGAGGTAGGTAATCGAGAGGAGAAATCGGTATGCTTATGATTAACAATTGTTATGTTATCACACGTGATCCTATTCCTCTCTACAAAATTTGGAATTTTTTGTTTGAAATGCAATAAAAAGCAGTTAAGAATTGAAATAACATGAGCAAACAGTAACAAAGGATTTTTAGAGATGAAAAAAAAACATATATCTTATATGACATGAGATTGCAACTATATATGTGCAACCGAATTAGTTTAATTGTACAAAAAGACTAGATAATAGATGGTGATATTTGTATCAACATATTTAATAATGAATAAATTTGAAAAATTATTGTCATTTTATTCAATTTCAACATTCGTATTGGATGTAATATTGAATTTGTATAGTTATTTGTCAAAAAAAAATTATTTAGTATTGAAAAAGTTTTACAGGTTATATACAATTTCACTATCAGTATTGATGCATTAACATAGTTTGGAAAAACATATTTCTTATCGAGATTTACAAGTTCAAAGTCTCTTAGATATGCTTATGAGTTTATTATATTTAAGAATTTTTTTTTTTCTAAATTTATATTTAAGAATCGAATTTTTTTTTTAGGGGTTAAAAATTAGAACTGTCGGAAATTAAAAGGTTTTCTTGACTAAAGAACTGTTAGTTTCTGCACAAGCAGACACGTGGCAGGAAATAAACATCTCTTCTTTCCCTTCTCTCTCTCTTCTTCGTTCGTCGATTTCTTCTGATGACCATTCCCTCCTCTCACATCCACTTCTGATTACTCCAGATAAAACCTAAACAGCTAAGCAAAGACTTGCCCTTTCGTTATCTCCAGTAGTTCCTACACTCGCATCTATTGCCTGATGAATTGAAACACGAACCCACTCTGCGTTGAAGAACTTTCTAGTAATGGCGGAATTGCAGCCAGGTAATAGTAATAATCAGCAACCAAACGGAGGCGCTCCTCCTCCGCTTCCGTCAAACTCAGCAGAAACGCTTGCCATTACCGCCGCCGGATCGAAACGATTAAGAAGACCAAGCGTTCGATTAGGCGAAATCGGCGGCGACCAGTACCACCATCAACTCGCGGCGTACGATTCGCAGGGGCGGAAACCGAAATGGACGGCGACGGCGACGGGTAATAGAAAAGATACGATCAAATCGTCGGCGAGGACACGAGCCCTAGCGAATTTGAGTTCTGGGTACGAGAATAGCGGAACCCTAGATGACGAAAGAGAAGGAAATGTTGATTCTTTTGGGGTTGGGAGTTGGCGGGTCAAGAAACGGGTCGGGTCATCTACGGGTGCGAAGCGAGCCAGGTCCAATTGGGTATCGAAAGTTGGGGAAACCGAGCATGGCGATGATAAAATCAGCGGAGGGGAAGACTTGGAAGGTGGGTTTAGGGATTTCAGCAGAGAAGATTCAGAGAGTCCGATAAAAGAGGAGTCTTTGGTGAGAGACGGTGGGTTTTACGGTAGAAGAAGATACGAAAGCAACAATAGCAGTGGGAACAGGGAGTTCGAGCTATCAGAGCCGTCGCATATGGACGGAGTTGGTGGTGGCGGAGGAGGAGGAAGAGAAGGAGTGAAGATATGGTTGCAAGAGTTAGGGTTAGGGAGATATTGGCCTATGTTTGAGATACATGAGGTTGATGAAGAGGTTTTGCCATTGTTGACATTGGAAGATTTGAAAGATATGGGGATTAATGCTGTTGGGTCGAGGAGGAAGATGTTCTGTGCGATTCAGAAGCTTGGTAGGGAGTTCTCATGAGAGAGAGAGACAGAGTGGAGAATTTTGATAGGTAAAGAAGAAAAGAAAATGGTTTTTTTTGTTGTTGTTGTTTTTGTTGGTGAGATAGTCAGCCATGGCAATGTAAGCTTGCAATGTCTGAAAACCATGAATGAAAGCCTTTTCTTCCTTTTGATATATTTCCTTCGTCTTTGGTTTCATGTTTTGAATATAGCTTTAGCTACAGTAGTATTAGTAGAAGTAGAAGTTGGAAAAGAAGAGGATGATGAAGAAGAGGATGATGAAGAAGAGGAAGAAGAAAGAAAAGGTTTTTAGCTCTTTGTTATCTCTCTTTCTCCTCACTTAAGATCTCGCTATCGAATAGGTATGTAGGCTAGAAACTGATTTGCAATAGAAGTTCGAAAGAGAAGAGAATGAATGTATTTGGTCTAGCATTTGAACATTGTTGTTAAGTGGTGAGCTATGCCAATATGTAGAAGCAGGAGCAAGTAGGAAAAGGAATTAGAGTCATTGGATCATACAGCCTCTTTTCAGCGTGTAGTAGTAACAGGAGACATGGATGACAAAAATCAGATATATGTTGTGGATGAGAGTGAAATGCGGAATATTGTGTGTGATTCAGGTTGCCCGTAAAATAATGTAGAAGCAATGGTTTAGAAGTGTCTGATGGAAAATAGACTGTATCATTGATTCCTTTAGATTCCGATTTGTTTCAGAAGAAGAGATTTAAGGTGCCACAGATGATCCTTCATGCTCTCTCATTCGGATGACTTTAGTACTTTGTTTGTTTGAGGGGCCTGATCCGGTTTTTGGGGGCAGCAAGGGTAAAATGGTGAGAGAAGAGAACAATAATAGAATTCATGACTTTGTACCAGCAATGAGAGCCTAGAGCTAGAGGGACACACCAAAAGGACAAAACTGTGAGAAAACCAATACTAATTGCTAACCAAACGAAATCAGGTCGAACCAGTTCGGCTCTGTGCATGAATATTTTTCCTTTTGGTTTTGGGCTTCGGTTACGGTTTTTCTTTTTTTTTTTCAGATGTGGAAAGAGGGAAACAAAATAATTTCGTGGAGCAAAGCAAAAGCACAAATGTAATCGATAGCATCTGTAATTTGGGAGCAACAATCTTATAGAGGGAAACTATACAATTAACTCTGACAAAACCAAAGAAACAAAAATGAAGCAAGACAACGATCACAAGTTTCACGACCAGTAGAGGGGACACAACGGAGAGGAAATTGTATCTAATCCCAACTGCTAACCAAATCGAAATCTCTTTTGGTGAAAAACTGATCTTAATCCAATTTGATGCTATTTTTTTCTTGTTCTTGCTTCTTTGGAGCTGCCGGAAAATATTTTATTCCTGTAAGGTCGCCTGCTTTGCTTATAACCTGTCATAAACACGAGGGGATTTAATAAAAACGTACAAATCGATTTGTGGATGAACAAAGCATTCACACTATGCTGAGAACTTGTTAAGGCTTCAAAGTAAAATACTAAAATGATATGGGAGAAAAAACGAGTGAACTCAATGCGAGATGTTTCACCTGTAAGGCTTTAATAAGATCTTCTCTTGAGTGAGATGCGGATATGCAAATACGAGCCCTGGCCAGCAATAGAGGTGTAGCTGGGAAACCGACCACCACAACTGCCACCTGTTCACAGTTTTTAATGTCCATTGAACATAGAGGTGAATCTCTCTTGTGTGGAAAGCAAATGAGATATTTGAAAAAGCATAAGAGAAACTTACGTTTTCTCGCAAGCATTCCCTTGAGAAAGCTGGGATCTTTGCTGGATTGTAAAGCATTATTGGCATGACTGGAGAATCATTGTCTCCAAGAACCTCAAATCCCATCTTCTGCAACTCAGCCCTGAAAAAGTTGCTGTTCTCCCTTATTCTTGCTAACTTTTGTGCACCTGCCCAGGTTTTTAGAATAATTTTGAGATTAATAACTTGAGATTATGAAGCTCAAAGAGCAAAAGAAACTATCATACCTCTGTTTGAACCGTCCTCTCCGAGGATAACTTTAATGGCCGATATGATTTGTTGCGCGGAAGGAGTTGAAATTGATGTTGCGTAAAGGTGAGCCGGGCAATGGTACTTCAAATATTGGATGAGGTCCTACAGAAATTAAAAGCACAAAATATGTGTAAGCCTTTGGTTGGTTTTGAGATGAAGTGCACTACTTGCCTAAACAATCACATGGTCTGTTCTGTAGGATTAGGGCCTTAGTGTATCAGCTCTTTACCCATCTTTGACAAGGTTCATTGCTTCATTAAGTTGCGACCATTTTATATTTCTAAGTTCTCCTGAATGGTCCAAATTTTTATATTCCAAAACAAGATAAACCATGGAAATGTGCCAACAAAAGATCAGTAAATGAAAACAAAAGGTATATGATTGCTAACCTTGGATCCGGCAATATAGCCACCACAAGATCCGAAAGATTTCGTAAAAGTTCCCATCATTATGTCCACATCAGCAGTGTCAACTCCTAGGAGTTCACAAACGCCCCTACCTGTTTTCCCAATTGCTCCAATGCTGTGAGCTTCATCCAAGTAAACATATGCCTGAAACAAGGATATAAGAGAAGTTAACTAACACATCAGACAACCAAATTCAGTCATGGAAAACTTTGTTGTAGCAAACGATAATTCAGTTGATAGAGTTCCTTGATCTCTCATCAATGTTACCTCACCTTATACTTCTTGCATATTGCGACAATCTCAGGCAGTTGACATATTTCCCCTTCCATGCTGTAAATACCCTCAACAACAACCATTATTTTCTTCCAGGGTCTGTGTGTCCTGGGTTGTCCCTCAGCGATTTGTTCTTTTAGTACTCTTTCCAAATGAGCAGGTGCTGAGAGGCAATCAAAACAAGAGAGCATAAAGATAGGTCAACCAGTAAATTGGATATAAATCTGGAGAATGGAGCATAAGAAATGCTTACTGTTGTGTTGGAAAACGCGGATAGTGGCTCCTGAACCTCGAGCACCATTGACAATTGAAGTATGGTTCAAAGAATCGCTTATTATCAACCCTCCCTGTATACAAGGCAGCAACTTAGCTACTAGAAACATAGGTTTTTGGGAGTAAGATAAGCGTTCATCACAAGGTGTAGCAGACACACATACCTTTCCAATCAAGACAGGAATGATAGCCGAGTTTGTCGCGAAGCCCATACCAGTGACGATAGCAGCAGGTTTTCCCACATATTTAGCAACACACTCTTCAAGTTCTGCATGCACAGTTGTCGTTCCTGATGGCGGAAACAAACAGATGTCATGCAACAAAGAGAAGGGATTGTTCGAGACCCAATACGTAACGAAAACGTACCTGCATCAACACGAGAACTGCATGTACTTGGAGAAAATTTCTTCAAAGACTCGATAACACGAGGCGTGCAGTATTCATCAAAAGAACCAAATCCAAGATAATTGTAAGACCCCAAATTCAGACACCTTCTACTCTTTGTTGTTCGCCTGCACGGAGTTGCAACCAAAGGTTAATTCTGTGACACCCTTCTCAAATAAAAATAAAAAAAAAATCGAATGGGAACAGTTCTCAACCGGGAAATTTTCAACCTTTGCATTTGGATTCGTATTCTCTCAATGTAACAATAGAATATATATACTATTCAACAGAAAAGCACAGGAAGATAGACTCACTTGAGCGTCTTGTTGTTGTCATTAGAGTACCTCTCGACCACATCAACCCAAGCATCAGGTGCACTAGATATGGGACGTCCAAAACAATCCTTCATACATATGAAGAACAAGTATTAGGAATCAAGCACCAAAAATATGTGCAACACAAAATCCTATACACCTGAACATTTCTAACTCTATCCGGCTTTCAAGACTTCACCACCCCAAAAAAAAAGAAAAATTTATCTTCACGATAAGCCACCAATGCCGAGATTCAACATTTGATGCCAATAAAAAAAACGAATTGAGAAGTACCTGGATCCGATGATACAATCGCCTGATATAGAAATCCTCATGCGCCAAGCAGATCGGAGCGTAACCCTATACACAAAATGAGAATCAGGATTCGAAAAAGCAAAATAAGTTAACGGGATAAAACGTAGAGGAGAGAAATCGAGAAACCTGGAGATTGTTGGTGCTCCACCAATCGAAGATTCGGCGGGAGTAATCGCGAAGCTGGCCAAAGGCGAAGAGCAATCCGTAGCTGAAGTATGTGGATACAGCGGTAAGGTAAGGGATCGTAATCATTGTTCAGCTCCTTCCTCCTCCACACGTCCTCTTCTTCTCCTCCGAAACGATTTTTCAAACCCTCTATGTCTCTGTCTCTCTCTCGGTTCGAGATTGTATGCAGATTCGGGAATAAAATTCAATGATGGGATCTGGAAAAATCTGCGCCTTTCTCACGGGAGATAGAGAGAGAGAGAAGAGAGAGATTTGAATTCAATCTCTTCCCCTTTCGTCGAAAAAAAGAGACAGGATTCGGATCATAAAAACCATCTTCTCTTCGGTTTCGTTTTTTTTCGCTTATTTTATAATTCTTTTGGACTTTCCGAGTCGGACCATTCAATAATTCAATTATATTGTCCAATAAAATAATTTCGTAAGAAAATAATTTAATTTTGTCAATTATGAATCTATATGTTTAAAAAAATAGTGCACTTTAACACTGTAAATTTTTTTTTATAAAAATGTTTTGTCGTTAGAATAAAAAAGAGTCTATTAGAATAAAAATAGAGTCTATACTACATATGTGACTTTCTTTTTCTGGTCGACACGGCAATTAGAAAAGTCAATGGTATATTAGGCCATTTGAGTTAAGCATGAAAAGACCCTTGCCAAAAGTTAGAAAAACATATTGTATATGGTCGGATTTGAACCAATACCGGTTTCATTAAAAGAATCAAGATGTTAACAATAGCATTAGCATCCAAATTAAGACTAGAAATGATGATCATTTTCTTTTCTCTTTTTTTTTTTGGGTTGGGAAGAGATGATCTTGATCTCAATAAGAGAAGATATATATATATATATTAAAAAAATCTTGATCTCAATCAGAATCGGTTGTTTCCTAGTATCAGAATATAATAAGTAGAGTTTATGCCACATGTACATATCATTAATCTTATGATGCGTATATAAGCTATTGTACAGCACAATTATTCATTAATGAGAAAATCAGTTTGTTAACTAAACTCTAATATGGTATCAGAGCGATAAGCGTTTTCTCGTTCAACGAACTTTCTAGGAAACATTTTTTTCCAGGAAAATCTCACTTTCTTAAGCATTCCGCACCAATTTTTCTTTCAAATTCTCTTTGATTTCTTCGGTTTCTTCCGAGAAGTCCTTCTGTTTTTGGATTCCATTTCAGCTTATAGTATTCATCTTCTCTCGGTTTCCATCTTCTTCAATTAGTGATGGCGAGAAAAGGAATTAAGCTCAGGAATCGATCTCTTCCATCAGATCCAGACGATGCTTCACCTCGCGTCAGTAAACCTTCTTCTTCGGGTAAATCCTCTTCAAGCAAGGAGATTCCGCATCGCGAAGCGTCTTCAATTCCTCTGATTGCTCCCAATCATGTTTCTCCAGGTTATGATTCTATCGATAGCATCCATAATCCATTTTGCTTGTTATCTGGTGATCATCCTGGAATGAATCTAGTTTCTGATATACTTACTGGAGAAAACTACAACACTTGGATCATAAATATGCGCACAAGTCTAGAGGCTAAGAATAAGATTAGCTTTGTTGATGGTTCACTCCCTAGGCCAGCTGAATCGGATCCTCTTTACAAGATCTGGACTCGTTGTAATAGTATGGTCAAGGCTTGGATCTTAAATGCCGTCTCGAAGCAAATCTCTGCAAGTATCCTTTACTTTGATGATGCCTCTGACATGTGGATTGATTTACACAATCGATTCCATAAGAGCAACTTACCTTTGATCTACAATCTGGATAATGAGATTTATTCTCTTCGTCAAGGTGATATGGATCTTTCTGAATACTACACAAAGATGGTAACTATTTGGGAACGATTGGCTTGTACAAAGAATCTTATTGAGAAAGGTGGTTGTAGATGTTCTCAAGTGCAGAAACTCTTAGCTGATCATGAGACAACTCGAATTGTCCAATTCTTGATGGGGCTTAATGATGAATTTGCTGCTACACGAACTCAAATTCTCAACACTAAGCCACGTCCTTCTTTATCAGACATGTATAACATGCTAGACCAGGATGAAGGACAGAGAAAGAAGAAAGCACTACAGTACTCGGCTCCTACAGCTTTTCAGATGCACGGACAAGTCAATTCTCAAGGTAACCGATCTAACAATCAAGGAAAATCCAGACCTTCTTGTACTCATTGTGGGCTTTCTGGACACACTGTTGATCATTGTTACAAGGTTCACGGATACCCTCCTGGTTGGAAACCAAAGAATCAGAGACAGCCACAGAAATTCTCAGCTCCTATGTCTGCTAATATGGCCTTGACTGATTCAGTGACCACTACAGAAATGGGAATTGATTTGACAAAGGATCAGATACAACAGTTGATTGCTTATTTCTCATCTAAGCTTCAACCTCAGACTGCTGCAATCACAGAAGTCAACAATGATGTGGCTAGTTCGAGTATCAATCCTGCAATCTGTCAAGTGACTGGTACTTTCTATCCTTCCATTTACTGTTCATTAACTGGAGATAATTCATCGTTTTTCTATTCAATATCAGATGATATTGTAAGTATGAATAAATGGGTGATTGATACTGGTGCTACACACCATGTATCATATGATGCTGCTTTGTTCACTGAGATTAAACCGTTGCAAAACATTACTGTTAAGCTTCCTACTGGTTTAGCTGTGAACATAATTGGAATTGGGGTTATTCAACTAAGCAAGACGATTACTCTTCATAATGTCTTGTATATTCCCCAATTCAAATTCCATTTGTTGAGTGTTAGTACTTTGACACAACAACTACCCTGTGGTATCTGGTTTGATTCGGTTGGCTGTGAAATTCAGGATCGTACAAGGGTATTGACGATTGGCAAGGGTAGATTGCATTCAAATCTTTACTTTCTCGATGTTAGCTCTCTTCAGGCTACACCAGAACCTGTTATCTGCAGCACTTACAAGAATGAGACAGAGTTATGGCATCAAAGATTGGGACATCCCTCACTTCAGAAGTTGGAGTTGCTTTCTGATATGTTGTCAATTTCTTTTTCCAAGAATAAGAGTTCAAGTCATTCACATTGTAAGACATGTCATTTGGCTAAACAAAAACACTTGCCTTTTGTTTCTCGGCAGAACAAGTCTAATAAAGTGTTTGATTTGGTTCATATTGACACTTGGGGACCCTTTTCTGTGCCTTCTTATGATGGATTTAGATACTTTTTAACTATTGTGGATGATCATTCTCGTGCCACATGGGTTTATATGCTCAAAAATAAAGCAGATGTGATCTCTGTGTTTCCATCCTTTGTCTCGATGATTGAAAAGCAGTGGGACGTCAAACTGAAAGGAGTACGGTCAGATAATGCTCCGGAATTCAACTTCACGAAGTTTTTTCAAGAAAGGGGGATTGTGTCTTATCATTCATGTCCAGAGACTCCCCAACAGAACTCGGTTGTTGAACGTAAGCATCAACACTTACTTAATGTAGCAAGATCACTTATGTTTCAATCTCAAATCCCTCTTGAGTATTGGACTGAGTGTATTCTTACTGCTGTCTTCCTTATAAACCGTTTGCCTACTCCTCAGCTAGACACTAAAACTCCATTTGAAATCATCATGAAGAAACATCCTGAGTATCACATGCTGAAGACCTTTGGATGCCTGGCTTATGCTTCGACATCTCCAAAGCAGAGACATAAATTTTCTCCTCGTGCAAAGGCATGTGTCTTCTTGGGTTATCCCACAGGTTACAAGGGCTACAAGCTTCTTGACATTGAGTCTAAACAGATTTTTAGCTCAAGACATGTGGTATTTTACGAAGATCTATTTCCATTTGCTGCTGGTAATCTTTCTGAATCTATGCAGCAATGTTTTCCTGATATTGTCTCAGACATTCCCCCCGAGTCACAAGAAGGAAACACAGTTATTGATGAGACTGATCTTATGCACCCGTCTGATGCTGAAAACTTTCATCATCAACCGGTACGTGATAATATCCTTAATTCTGATAGTGACGAAGATCAGAATATTGAGATGAGTGCTCCTACACAATAATCTCATGGTGAAACAGATCAGTTAATTGAGGTTAGCACTTCTAGAAAATCAAAAACTCCTGCTTACCTTCAAGACTATCATTGTTACTCTATCAGTACCAATGTTGCATATCCCATTTCCGACTATATCTCTTATGAAAAGATTTCATCCTCCTATCAATGTTTCTTGGCTGCTCTTGACAAAGAGTTTGAACCGAGGACTTATACAGAGGCAAAGAAACATAAGGTCTGGAACAATGCTATGGATACAGAGGTACATGCTCTTGAAGGAACTAATACTTGGACTGTTACATCATTGCCCCCAGGAAAACATGTAATCGGGTGTAAATGGGTATACAAGTTGAAGTATAATGCAGATGGTAGTTTGGAGCGACATAAAGCTCGTTTAGTAGCCAAAGGTTACACTCAAGAAGCAGGCATCGACTATGTAGACACATATTCACCGGTTGCTAAATTGTCTTCTGTCAAAATGATGCTTGGCCTTGCTGCAAAACTGGGTTGGTTTTTATCACAGCTTGATATCTCTAATGCTTTCTTGAATGGTGATTTAGACGAGGAGATATACATGAAGCTGCCTCCAAGTTATGTTCCAAAACAGGGGGACTCTTTGCCAGAGAATGCCGTTTGTAAGCTGGAAAAATCCCTATATGGTTTGAAGCAGGCCTCTCGACAATGGTATAAGAAATTTTCAGATACTTTGGTGAGTTTTGGCTACACTAAATCAGGATCAGACTATACTCTCTTCACTAAGGTGACTGGTTCTGTATTCATTGGAGTATTAGTCTATGTTGATGACATTGTGGTAGCAAGTAATAATGAGGATGCAGCAGAGCATTTAAAGGATCAATTGAAATCTTGTTTCAAGCTTCGTGATCTAGGTGGAGTGAAATACTTTCTTGGCTTAGAAATTGCAAGGTCTGCAGCAGGGATATCAATTTGTCAGAGGAAATATGCTCTTGAGATCATGGACACTGTTGGTCTTCTCGGGTGCAAACCATCCTCAATACCTATGGAGCCAAATGTTAAGATGTATCGTGACGTTGGTGAATTGATCGATAATACAGAGACATACCGTAAGCTGATTGGTAAATTGATTTACCTCACCATCACACGACCTGATATATGCTTTGCAGTTCAGAAGCTGGCTCAATACACATATAAGCCACGTGTTCCTCATTATCAAGCTCTTCTCAAGCTGATTCGTTACATAAAAGGAACTGCAGGGCATGGTTTGTTCTATTCATCTTCTCCAGGATTTGAGTTGAAAGTTTTTACAGATGCAGACTGGGGATCATGTTTAGACACAAGAAGATCGGTGACTGGATATTGTATATTCCTTGGTGATTCTCTGATCTCTTGGAAATCAAAGAAACAGGACACTGTTTCAAGCTCCTCATGTGAAGCAGAGTACATGAGCATGTCTTTTGCAGTTCGCGAAGTCCAATGGTTGCAGAAGCTTATGAACGACTTTTGTGTTCCTATGCCTAAGCCTGTGACTTTGTTCTGTGACAATACTTCAGCTATGAACATTGCAAAGAATCCAGTATATCATGAGCGCACCAAACATGTGGAGATGGATTGTCACATTGTTAGAGAAAAAGTTGAAGAAGGTCTTCTCAAGCTCTTACATGTACGAACTGACCTTCAGCTTGCAGACATTCTAACGAAGCCCTTATATCCGACACAATTTCAGACTCTACTTAGCAAGATGGGAGTTTCTACTATCTTCACTCCATCTTGAGGGGGACTATCAGAATATAATAAGTAGAGTTTATGCCACATGTACATATCATTAATCTTATGATGCGTATATAAGCTATTGTACAGCACAATTATTCATTAATGAGAAAATCAGTTTGTTAACTAAACTCTAATACCTAGTTTATATTATCATCATTATATTGTCGAAAGAACAAAAACAACGAGTATTTCCCTTCGGGCGACTTCCAAAAAGCGATTAATAACCGTTTTCTCTTCATTGTGATTCCTCCGGCTGACGTCGACTCCGGCGTCGGCTGTACTCTTTCTTTACGTTTTTGTTTTTAGTTTCTAGTTTTGTAATAAAATTTCATGATTTCTCATCCTCTTTCGAGAGACGACACTACGTACGTCTTTTGGAATTGTTGGTTTCTCTTCTTATGGAAGATCGTTTGTCCGGTGTTTGATTTCCAATTCCTTCGAGTCATTTCTGCTGGTTTTAGTCCGTTGAGTGAAATCTCTAGCGGTTGGAGAAAATTTTCTTCATTTGATTTACCAATCCCTAAACCGCCTTGGATTTTCTCTTATTTCAACGCTTTTTTGATAATTTTAGTGTGTTTGTCCCAATTATCTTCAATCATGATGGGTGAGATCCGACGGCAATCACAAAACATTGTCCTCATCAACGATGCATCACTAACTTTACAAGTAGTGAAACGTGTTCAAGCCGCTGATCTAAACCCTCTCACCAATATTGAGTTTCTTTTGAATAAAAAGAAAGAAGATATGTGTTATTGGATCGACACCAGTGCTGCAAATTTTGGGCGTTTATGGACATATTCCACTCAGGTGATTTCATTTATCACTGATAACTGTTTGCATTGGAAACTTTCAATTGGGCAACAACCATGGAAGAAAAGGCTATCTGGCCTTTTTAATTTCCCAATTTACAGAGAAATGAGAAACGAAATTAACCATGGAAGAGAAGAAATAATGCTATCTATATATCAAATTGGGAGAACACCAAAGTTAAATTATTTTAAAAGGACTGGTACGGAAGCGTTTGTATCAGACTGTCAAAATTTCAGGATTTTTTTCGGAGGCATTGGGTTTTAACATGCGGTGGGCAATTCAAAGGTTTAGCCAAAAGATGCTACCTATGCACACAATTCGCATAAGATTAAGATCGTATACGGAGAATGAAATAACGAATTTTATTTTGTTAGCGAGTAAGACTTATCTACAGAAAGCTTCGTCACAATCACTTCTTTTGTTGTATCTTTTTCACTATATGGTGCATATATCTGTTTATGTTATAATTTATTTTTTGAAAGTTCTGTATGACTTTATAATCTCAATTTGAAATCAATATAATTGTTTGCCGAAAAAAAATATATATATATATATTAAAAGAAAGTTTTATATGTACAAATTTTAGCGAGTGATTGGTTGAGTCTTTAGCAAATGTATTAAGATTATCTTAAACCACAAACCAACACAAACTGAAATTCGGATTCGAGCCTTGCAAGTTGCACCTGTAATTAAGTATGGAATGTAACATAAAATGTCTCAAACATAAAAAGACTAGCTAGTTCTCTTTTTGGTTTTACGGATAATATTAAAAGACTAGCTAGATGTTCTTCACAATTCTATGAAACTCCATCACATCGATACTATTTGGCTTTGATCTTTATGAAACCTCCTTCCTCAATTTTGCATCTTTTCACGGGTCAAGTAGCGAATTCACCATAAGCTGTTTGTTAAGATTGAAAATTAATTAAAACATGAAACTACGTAGTTTCATGGCGAAGTATCAATTTTAAATGTTTAAAACCAGAAAACGACCTAGCAGTTTCCAAACCCTAAATCACGATTCACAATCACTAGAGATCGATTCATTGTCTTCTCCAACTACTCTTGCTGCAAACGAAACCTAAAATTCAGAGCACCATAGCTGCGATTTCCACTCTATCTCTTTTCTCCATAGTTATGTCTCTCAGAAAAGGTATGAGAAAGTAAAGGATTAGCTCTAGTTAGTGTTGCCATGATCGCCACGACCACAACCAATCATAGTGTCTGCATCTCTTGGAGTTTTTGTGTTGGTTTGAACGGCCTAGCTCGCAGAGTCCTCTTGCAAGGATCCTGTGTCAAGAACTGTCTCTTGTTCCAACAATGCATACCATGTACATCCACATCTAATCTAATTTTCTCCTCAGTCCTACACACATTTGAAGTAGCTGACACATGTGGGATAGAGTTTTCTAAGGAAGGAGAGGAAAACTCAACCTTAAATTATTAGAGTTTTGTTTCTGCGGTTAATAAAGAGGAAATCTCTACTTCTCTATTAAACTTCAGTAGTAACTTTACAAGGGAGGACAACCTCAGATTTTGTTTGTGTCTTCTGTTTTTGACAAGCCTGTAGGAACATCAATGACTGTAATTTCTGAAATAAGTATAGTTGGAATTGTGTGTAGATGTTGGCAGAGAAACGCTCTTGAACGGTTTCTACAACAATAACCATAGCAGGAACACAGACAGGATCTGAGTCTGAGGCAGAAATTGAGATGTAGATGGAGAAAGAGGGTGTGAAGAAGAGAAATATAGAGAGAGAGGGAGAGAGAAAGAAAGAAAGAGAAAGAAAGAGAAATAGTAGAGAGAGTTAAACCTTAAAGGTTAGTTCATATTTTCTGTGTTCCTATTTTTTATATTTGAAACATTTCTTAATTTAAATGTAGTTAACTAAATCGTATGATATATACAATTTAGGACGATGAGGAAGGGAGAGAATGAGAGAGAAATATTAAAAGAGAGAAGGAGAGAGAGAATGATAGGGAGGGACGCATGGTTGGGGGGGGGGAGAGAAAGTACCTACAGTTTTTAAGTACATGTATTTGATTGATATAAAAGACGAATGAAAAAAGAAGAATATGAAGTCGGAGAGAACAAAGAAGACGAAGGCGATGAAGAAGAAGAAGAAGAAGAAGAAGTAGTAGAGTAAGAAGAATATGAGGAAAAGATGTGGAAAACGACGAAGAAGAAGAAGATGTGACAAACAAAAAAAAACTTAAAGAATAAGAAGCAAGAAAAGACATATAAAATGTAGAGGAGAAGGAAAAAAAATTAAAATGAAAATGAAATAAAACTAAGAAGAAGATGTATGAGAGAAGAAGGAAATATAAAGATGGAATATGATGAAGAAATATAAAAAAAAAACGATAAACAAAAAAAGTAAAAAAAAAATAAAAAAATAAAAAAATAAAAAACAATTATGTAGAGATGAAGAATTCGCTTTGTCTTAGTTCAATTGGTTTGTGAGTTCAATATATTTATTTAATAAACATTTTTGTTTTTAACTTTGGATGGTGTTTTGAATTTGCTTTATATATTTTAAATAGGTGTTTTACTTTTTAAAAAAGTTTTTGATTTATAACATTGAAATTCTTATGTCCGCATAGGGTGCGGACCAAACACCTAGTATATACTTTAAAAGAAAGTTTTAATATGTACAAATTTTAGTGAGGGATTTGATGAGTGTTGGCAAATGTTTTCAGATTATCTTGACCCACAAACCGAAATTCAGATTTGATTCTTGCAAGTTGCAACTGTAATTAAGTATGGAATGTAACATACACTTTCTCAAACATAAAAGGACTAGCTAGTTCTCTTTTTGGTTTTACGGATAATATTAAAAGACTAGCTAGTTGTTCCTCACAATTCTATGAAACTCCAAAACACATAGATACTATATGGCTTTGATCTTTATGAGACCTCCTTCCTCAATTTTGCATTTTTCACGGGTCAAGTAGCGAATTCACCATAAGTTATTTAATTTGTTAAAATAGAAAATCAATTAAAACATGAAACTACGTAGTTTCATGACGAAGTATCAATTTTAAAATTTTTAAAACCAGAAAACGACCTAGCAGATTCCGAACCTAAATCACGATTCACAATCACTAGAGATCGATTCATTGTCTTCTTCTCCAACTACTCTTGCTGCAAACGAACCCAAAATTTAGAGCACCATTTCTGCGATTTCCACTCTATCTCTTCTCTCCATATCTCTGCCTAAGGTAAAAGCTCTTTCTCCATATCCATTCATTGTTTCGTGTTTCTGCTCGTACTTTGTTATATATGTAGTTATGTCTCTCAGAAATGGTATGAGAAAGTAAAGAACTAGCTCTAGTTAGTGTCGCCATGACCGCTCTGGCCTCCACGACCACCAACAACCATAGTACACTGAGTTTTTGCGTTGGTTTGTGTCAAAGAACTGTCACTTGTTCCAACAATATTATCCTCATTTCTACACACATTTGTGGGATAGAGTTTTCCAAGGAAGGAGAGGAAAACTCAACCTTAAATTATTAGAGTTTTGTTTCTGCGGCTAATAAAGAGGAAATCTCGACTTCTCTATTGAACTTCAGTAGTAACTTTACAAGGGAGGACAACCTCAGAGTTTGTTTGTGTCTTTTGCTTTTGACAAGCCTGTTGGAACATCAATGACCGTAGTTTCTGAAATAACAGTTGGAATTGTGTAGACACTGTCAGAGAAACACCCTTGAATGGTTTCTACAACAGTAACCATAGCAGGAACACAGACATATATAGGTTTTGAATTTGATGCTAGTGTCAGAATCTTGGAAAGATCCAAAGATTAATGCTTGATTCTAAGAAATTTATTTAGTTCATTTTATAGTCATATATTGTAACAGTAAGAGAATATATACATTTTGTTATTGTTAAAGTATTAATTATGCAATCATGTTTACTTTTTGTTTTTTAGTGTACTGATCACCAATGGAGAAGAGTGATAAGAATGAAGCATTTTCACCAAATGCAAGCAATATAAAACAAGAGAAATCTTCGCAAGGCTCCATTCGTCGTTATCAGAAACAAGGTTTGACGTGGAAATATGTTAGTGAAACTGTTGATTCAAAAGGGAAAAAAGTTACAGCTTGTGATTTTTGTGGTAAGCAATACGTTGGAATCAGTAGAATGAAACAACATTTGGCTGGGTTGAATCAAAGTAGAACTGCATGTAAGGAGGTTTCTTCAGAGGTTCGAGATTCGATTAGAAAATCATTGAAAGAAAAAGAAGAGAAAACGAATGAGAAAATTGTGGTGGATCTTAAGATGGAAGACTATGAAGTAAAGGATGGTCAAAGTTCTCATCAATCTTGCCCTTCCCAAAATCGGAAAAGAAAGGTCAGTATCAACTTAACATTTTTACTTTGAAAAGGGACTAGATCAAGGTGAAACACAATATACTATATAAGAAAGCATACATACATGCAATTATGCATATCAAGAAAAGATTTATGGAAGTGATATGAAAATTGCATCAGTTTTATTAATGTCATTAAATCGGTTGTTTAGGCGTTTGGCGCCACGACCAAATCGTGGTTTTGATCAATTGGTGGGTTGTGTAGACATCCATTTAGTAGATGCAACGCAACTCAAACGGTTTTTCAAACAGTTAATTTTTTGATCCATGTATGATTCCATAAATTCAGCTAATCATAAATATGTAAATTTATAGTCTTTTGATGCTTTATAATGGTTTTGATCACAGTTTTTTTTTATTACATTTACATTTTTATTTTATCATATATCATTGTCATAAATTTTATCATATATCAGTCATAAATGTTTTTTTCTTTATAATTATTCCATCCAATTATTATTTTACGATAATATATACTATTACTTATCATTTTTATGAGACCCATAAAAAACGATTCATTTTCTTTTTCAAACGAAAGAATTTAAGATGTATATTACTTAGGAAGATGAACCAACCCCATAAGGCCATCTCCAACCCTAAACCCCTTTTTGGGGTTCATAAGAGTTTTTATAATAATTTTCTTTTTTTTTGAGCAATGATGAATCCCAACTATTTTTTTAACTCCAACCATGAACTCTTCCTCTTTGGGTTCATAAGAATAACGAACATACAGATGAATAAAGAAACAGAATAAGAATCGGAATATGCTGACTGCAAAAACAAGTGTAAGCCATGGATTATCTTTACCTTGTCACATGAATAATACTCTCTCCAACCAGATTCCTCAGCGTGGAACACTTGGCAGAAAATGGATTGCTCGTATGTGGACCCAAATTCAAATTAGATGTGATGAAGAAGAAACCGAGCTTTTTGACCCAAAACCCCACAGATCATCAATTTCGAAGAAACCCAAATTCATAGTATTTTCGAAGAGCGCGGCGCAGAATATAGAAGAAAATCGGTGGAAACAGAAAACAGAGTCGGCGGTGTGAGATTATCGGATGAAAATTGTTTCTTCTGATTTCGACGAATAAGATACTGACAGTTGGCCAGTGATACTCTAGTCATACAGGTTCAAGAAGATGAGTGTAGTCATACCGGTTCATCAAAATTGGACTCATTTTTTAATTTTTAAACCTCAAAAAATTAGTTGGTCCTACTTATGATACCCTTATGATCCTCCGTTGGAGATGCCCTAAGGTTTTAAGGGTGCACTGAAAAATAAAAACGAAGTGGTTGATTCGTTGTTATCCATAGTGAATAAATATTTTTAGTAGGATAATTACCTTTTTATTTATCTGTTCGTGTAATTATTTTTCAACAAATGTTTGTTAAGTTTTCTTATATATATATATATATATATATAAAAGATGAAGTTGTGAGACTCATTCAAACAAAAGAGAGCTTTGAAGGTTTTAATCGAATTATTGTGTTGATGTCAAAAAAAAAAATCGAATTATTGTGAGGAGAGTTTTTACTTTGTTTCTATTATTTTTTGTTTCCTAACAAATAATAATTACATTAACGAATTTATCTTAGTGAAGTCATGTATAATTAAAGTTTTGTTTTTTGAATTTGATTCTTTCTCCAACCCAATATCTCGTAAATCTATATATATATATATATTTATATATATATATATAAACAAAATAACAGAGAAAAAAAAACAAAAGAAAATAATTTATTATACTTTGATTTACGAAGTTGCATTACTTTTTCTCGCTAATTTAACACAGTACAAGATTTTCTTTTCGTTAACCAATCAAACGTAAAGTCTCTTTGGTTTCTCACGTACAAAAGGACTAGTAGAGTCACATCTTCGTTTACTTCAACTCCTTAATTCCCAAGTTTACCTTCCCTATGAAGTTTCCTTCTTTCTCTCCTCTTTAAAATCCTCACTCTCTCTACCCTGTTCAACTCAGAGAGAAACCAAACCATCAAAAGAAAATATGGCGGAATCGGCAAAGCAACACATTGATCGTATTCGGAGGACTAAGTTTTCAATCGGCGGAACTGAGAATCCGTTGACGGAGGATCTTCATCAGGCCGTGAAGAATCTCTCCGCTGAGCTCTACGCTAAAGATGTTCACTTCCTCATGGAGCTTATCCAAGTAAGTTGTTTACTCTCTCTGTTCCTCTCTCTAATGCACTTCTCTGCTTATTTTTGTGATATCGTCCTTCCAAGTTTTGATTTTTTTGCTCAGTTTTCTCGAGGGTTTGCGCTCTTTCCCGAGAAAAATCTGGAATCGAACTAGAATATCTATTTATCTTTAAAAGGAGACATTTTTTTACCAATGCGTTTCCTCCTACGATTTTAGCTAATTGTAGACAATAAATTCTCCTTTGGTTTTCAGAACGCTGAGGATAACGAGTACCCTGAAGGTGTGGATCCATCGCTTGAATTTGTTATCACATCTGAAGACATAACAGCCACTGGAGCACCAGCCACTCTCCTCATCTTCAACAATGAGAGAGGTTTCTCTGAGAAGAACATTGACTCCATTTGCAGTGTTGGTAGGTCCACAAAGAAAGGCAACCGCAAACGCGGTTACATCGGAGAGAAAGGTATCTACTTTCCTTCTACCATATGAGAAAAAAAGCTCGAATTTTTTAAAGACCCTTGTTCTTACATGTGTGTTTTGTTTCAATCTTGGCAGGAATCGGGTTCAAGAGTGTGTTTCTGATAACTTCTCAGCCTTATATTTTCAGCAATGGCTACCAAATCCGATTCGATGAGGCGCCTTGCAGCCACTGCAGCCTTGGATACATTGTTCCCGAGTGGGTTGAGCAACATCCTTCTCTTGTCGACATACAAAGGATTTACGGTTCCGGTTCTGCTCTTCCGACAACAACCATTATCTTGCCTTTGAAAGCTGACAAGGTCAAGCCGGTCAAGGAACAGCTTTCCAATGTTCATCCTGAAGTTTTACTGTTTCTTTCCAAGATCAAGCGTCTCTCTATCAGAGAACACTGCCAAGATCCGAACCTCAGCACAGTGAACTCTATCGGGATTGTAAGCGAGACGGATTTCATGACGAGGAAGAGCATCGATGCTGAGTCTTACACAATCAATCTCTCTGCTCGTGGAACTGATTCTGAAAACCAATGCAGTTACTACATGTGGAGGCAGAAGTTTCCGGTGAAAAACGAGAACCGTGTGGAAAGGAGAAGCGAAGTCGATGACTGGGTGATCACTTTAGCGTTTCCATATGGAGAGCGTCTTGGCCTTGGAAACAGCTCTCCTGGTATCTATGCCTTTCTTCCAACGGAGATGGTAACCAATTTTCCGTTCATCATCCAAGCAGACTTCATTCTTGCATCGTCTAGGGAAACTATACTTCTTGATGACATATGGAACCAAGGGATTCTCAGCTGTGTTCCGTCGGCTTTTGTGAATGCATTCACCACCTTGGTGAAAAAAACTGAAGCTCCCGTGTCTAGCTTGCTTCCTGCTTTTGGGTTCTTGCCTGTAGAGCCATCGTCTTACGAAAAGCTGAATCTTGTTCGAGAATCCATTAAGGCAAGAATCTGTGCAGAGGAGATTGTGCCGAGCGTATCACATTCACGACAGAAGTTCTTTCACAAGCCAAGCGAAGTTGGTCGTCTCATCCCTGGTTTTTGGGATATCTTGAAGAAAGCGACGAGGGAAGGAGCGGGATTGCAGAACATTTCTTCACATGGGATCTACATTTTGGATTCCTCGTTTGACAAAGAAGAAAATGACAAAGTTCTTGACTTCTTGGGTTTGAAACCAGTCAAAAATAAATGGTACGCAAAATGCATTCAGGGCTGCGATCTCGTGACAAGTGTATCGGAAAGTACGTATGTTGAGATCCTTCTTTTCATAGCTCAAAACTGGCAGTCCAGATTTCACAGTACAAGAATGGTTAAAGTCCCGCTTGTCAAGTACCTTGTTCAAAAGGGAGCGACTTATCTTAGCAGCTTGGCAGATTTCAGCCCTCGGATATTATGTCTCCCTGCAGAGAAGAACCATTCATGGCTTCTTGAATGGAACTACGAGATGAAATGCACCTCTAAGTTTGTTTTCCTGCCAGATACTACCCGGACTGCGTTGAATGCGAGCTCCCATAAGGAAACTATACGTAACTGGCTCAAAGAGAAGGTTTCTGTCGTCGATATGAGTGTTTCTGAGTATGCAAAACGTCTCCGGGATAATCTTAACGTAGACAAGAAGCTTGTGGTTTCTTATGCACACTTTCTGCATCACTCCATCTCGGCAGGTTTTTTATCAGACGTTGAGGCTGAGAAGTGCTGCAGAGACATGCCCCTTGTGGACAACTATGGGAATGTCAACACGAGTAGGAATGGGGTTCTTGTTCCTGCTAGCGCAGGTAAATGGGTTAGCTTGACTGGTTCGAATCCTTGGATGAAGGACGACTACATTGAGCTGTGGGAAGAGTATTTGTTACCAGGCAAGTTCGCTTGCGTACGGTCTAAGAAGGGAGAGCTTCTTGGTTTCTTGAAAACTCACGCTAAGGCTGGAGATATACCTGAGATTAAACCACCAAATGCAGCTATACCTGCGTTGTCTGGGGCTCTTATAAAGGAGAATGCTTTGTTGCTTTTGGAGTGGATTAAGAAGAATAGAGATTCTCTTCCTCCCAGGTTCTTGAACTCTGTTAAAGGAGGAAGCTGGTTGAGAACCACGATAAACGGATCTTCTGATTATCGGCAGCCTTCTAAGTCGTTTTACCATACTTCATCATGGGGAAATGTTCTGCAGAGCGGATCAATTCTTGTGGATATTCCACTCGTTGATCGGAGCTTCTATGGGAAAAAGATTGAGGAGTACAAAGAGGAGCTCAAAGTTGCTGGTGTCATGTCTGAGTTTAGCCAAGCTTGTACGTTTGTTGGCGACCACCTAATGCGTTTAGCTGAGACCTCGTCACTGTCAAGAGAGAATGTGTTCTCGATTCTGAAGTTCATCAGGCACTTGAGACCCTCACCAGATGATTTCATCACTGCTGTGAAAAATCACCCTTGGCTAAAGACAAGTACTGGTTACCGATCTCCAGATGGAGCTGTTCTGTTCAGCAACGACTGGAAAGCTGCTTCACTGATCAGCGACATTCCGTTTATTGATAGAGAAATCTATGGTGAAACTCACCTCAATGGCTTCAAGAAAGAGCTTGAGCTGCTAGGCGTCGTAGTTCAGTTTCCCAATAATCACAGCCTCATCGTTTCACATTTGAATCCTGCAAAGCTGAGCTTTTTGACAGCCGATGCAATGCTCTTAGTACTTGACTGCATGCGCCAGCTAAGTCCCCAGAAGCTTATCAATGCCCTAAGAAATTCACAATGCTTCAAGACGAAAAGTGGATACAAAACTCCTGCTGATTGTTATATACCTGATCCGGAATGGAGCTGCCTTCTATCTGTTTTTGATAGTTTCCCTTTGATCGACGAGGATTTCTATGGAGAAAAACTCTCTACCTACACAGAGGAGCTGAAGCAGATTGGTGTTGTGGTTCAACTTGAAGAAGCTGTTAAAGGGTTTGTGCGAACGTTCAAGCACAAAGCTACCTCCTCTGGTCTAACCCGGTATAGCGCCTCGTCTCTTCTATCTTGCTACAAGAAGCTGTTGGCCAGTAATCTCAAGTTTCCTGAAGAACTTATGAAAACGTTCAAAGAATTACAATGGCTACGTACTAAACTCGGCGATTTCCGTGCACCAGAGAGCTGCATTCTCTTTGATCCAGAGTGGGAACCTCTCCGCCTAATAGCGAATCTCCCTTTTATCGATGACAGCTCAAACTGGTACGGCAAAAGCATACACGATTACAAGAAAGAGCTAAAGAGCTTGGGAGTTACAGTTGAGCTGAGACAAGGCATGAACCATGTGGTTAGCTCCTTAAGTCTCCCTGATCCATCTCGCATCACTCCTGCAAGTGCTCTGTCTGTTTTTAAGTGCATCAAGTTCTTGCTTGAGGATAGATATCAGCAACTCCCTAAAGAGTTTCTCGACAAGGTTTCTGTCAAATGGTTGAAGACACATGCTGGTTACCGCAGTCCTGAAGAGTGTCTCTTGCTCGATCACAGCTGGGAATTAGAGCCTTGTGATGGTCCTTTCATCGATGAAGCGTACTATGGATCTGAGCTTAAGTCGTTTAAACAAGAGCTTGTTAAGATTGGAGTTGGTAACGATTCAGCCAAAGCCTGCAACTTGCTTGGTAGACACGTTTATACACATTCCGATTCTGATGCGATTTCCCGGATATATAGATTCCTCAGAAAATCTGAATGGAAATCTGAGAAAGATGGTGCGTCTTCAGGCCGGATCTGGATCCCGAGCGATGGTAAATGGGCTGATGTTTCTAGCTGTGTGGTCTATGACAAAGATAAACTCTTTGGATCTCAGCTAAACGTTCTTGAAAACCATTACAACACTGGTGATCTTCTTGGCTTCTTCTCATCTGCGTTTGACGTGAGAACCAACCCGTCGATGGAAGATTACTGTGCTCTGTGGCAAGATTGGGAGAGAACAAAGGACAGGTTGTCTTTCAAAGAGTGTTCTGCGTTCTGGACATTCGTTGTGAAACACAGTAACTCGTTTAAAGCTGAGAAGTTCCTCTCTGAGTCTCTTACGCGTCTGCCTGTAAACTCACCAGATTGCAGTAGCAGCAGTGGAGGAATCTTGTTGTCTAGCAAAAGCGACGTGTTCATAGCTGATGACTTGCTCTTGAAAGATCTGTTCATAGATTCCCCTGTTTTCGTCTGGTACCCTACTCCAAGCAGCTCTGCATTGTCACAAACCAAGCTCACTCCGATTTATAGAATGATCGGCGTCCAAGAGATCTCCAAATGCGTCGAGGTGGCAGAAGCTAAGTTAACCGATGGAGTCAAAATGGTGAAGCAAGAGAGTGATCTGATCGGACAAGGGCTAGTGAGGCTCATTCTTGGTTTCCTCTCTGATCCATCACTCGAGATAGAAGGTGAGGAGCGTTCAAGAATCATACATAGTCTCGTTAGCCTCAACTTTGTGGAAACTCGTGAGACGATCTCGACGGAGTATACTCTGAACCTACCGTCGAAAGGAGAGAAGCTGATGGCTAAAGCTAAGAGGATGATAAGGTGGGAGAGAGAGAAAGGAGTTGTTTACGCAGAGAAGAGGGAGAAAGCGTGTGGGAAAAGAAAGGTTTTGGAGTACGCCACGTGTTTCGCTGAGGTGATTGCTAAAGGAGTGATGTGGGAGAGGGAGGATCTGATCGGACGGTTATCTGAGCTCGTGAAGATGGCTTACTTGGTTGAGTTCGATGAAGAGGCTTTAGAGTTTCTTATGAAGTCCAACAACCTTCAGGTCTATGAAGAAGATGAGAAACTCATCTCAGATGTTTTCTCTTTCAAGTAAAACTTAAGGTATGTGTCAATATCGAATCTCATTTTATAAACTTCTATATTGGTCTTTTTTTTTTTTATCTGTGAATTTATTTGGCTTCTGTGAAAGTAAAAGATGTTTCTTTGTATTTTGCATTTTGCAGATGCCTTCTAAATCTCAAGTGAACCTAGTTACCTAGAGACCTCCTGCGTTGTATGTATCTCGTTTCTATGCGTCTATTTTGGTTTTCAATATCTTTTGTAAACTCTCATGACTCTTTCTCACTACCACAAAATATTTTGATATTTTGGTATCTCGTTTTACTATTGAAAATGAATGAAATACCGTTAGTTAACGGCTCCACTTTGACTGTATCAAAATTCAAAGCTTCTTATGCAGGTTTTAGGCTGTCTATGTAATTTTCCTTTGTTATTTTTTCTCATAGGTAGATTATTCTATTTATGTTCTCGGGAGGGATGAAATTAAACTTTAAGTAAAATAAATCGTAACGAATTATTCGAAGAAGATGTAGAAAAATACAAAAGCAATGCTACACAACTAGTAATTGAGAATATGAATCCCAAGGATTTTCAGTCTTTTAGTTATTTTTAATTACAAGCAAAAATAACTTTAGTTAAAATGCTTTTTATCCCTCCAATAAACATTTACTTTACACAAATTCGTGACAATGAGGAAAACAAACAAACAAACCTGAATCACACAATCTTGTTTATATATTTCTTGCCATTTTCTTGATTAATTTTCTTTAATAGTGTAAATTGGCTTAAACAAAGAGACTATAACCGTCCTACACCAGTTCTGCTTCTGCTTCTATATGCATCAGATATCTCAGTGTGTAACTCTCTTGAAGCATCATTGTCTGAAGACTCTGAGCTATCCTCACCGACTCTTTTCGACACAGAATCATCATCTCTGCTTCTTAAATCTTCGTTAACACGGCTTGAAAACTCCCAGCTTCCTCCTCTCCTTCCCCTGCTCGACTCTCTCGAATGCATAATCCCTCGCCCTTCAGTTTCTTCTGGTGGAAGCATTCTGCTCAAATCCCGTGATGTGACCGATGCTTCCATGTCCTTGTCCATGTCACCGAGCTCTTCTTCTACTGTCTCGTGCCACACCGGTTTTCTCCCCATCTCTATGTCGTGGGAGACTTTCTGTAAGCTCGGGCTTGACATCCCTCCTCCGTTTACTGTCCTTGGTGGGATTGCTGGCTCCTTTAATACCTTTGCTCTGAAACTGTTCTGAGACAAGGCAACGCTTGTGCAGAACACTTCCATGAAATTCCCTGTTATTCCTTTGTTGAAAGGGTTCTCGTTTCTATCATAACGATACCTAAAGTTTTCGTACGTTGACTGCAAAATCACACAACATATTAAACAACAGAAACCAGATGTTAACAAACGGTGAGTTTCTAGAGAGTAATGATCTTTTACCTGATTGGTACTGATTAGGTACAAGTGGAAACCGGTGAGCCCACCAACAAACCAGACCGAGATGAAAGTGTAGAGTATTAGCGCTATGGAAGCAGGAGTCTTGAGTAACGATTTCCAAATGTTTATCTTTTCACCATCCATTATGCGCTTGACGTAGATCCAGCAAAACACATGAACATAAATGCAGAGAAGAGCCGAGCACAACACAAACATGAAGTAGAACCTGTAGTTTCTCTGCATTCACAAACCCCATTATTACCGTTAGTTTCTCTTGAATCCTCCAGGTCTGTGCAATTATCCTCTTTAGCAGGTTGATTATAAAGTTTTTTAAGAAAAAACTCATTTAACCGAACGGTTATTGTGTTCAAAGATAATCCTAAATCCAGTTTCTATATTTAGAAACCTTTAGATATAAGATTGTATGCGTTTTCAGAGCCTCAAGTGTTTGCAAGATTTAATGAGAGAGATGAAAAAAGAGGGTACAAGCAAGATTTTGTTGAGGCAAAAGAAAATCTATTACCAGTCCAATGCACTGACCAAGCCAAGGACAGTGATGATCGAATTTCTCCACGCAGTTGTTGCAAATCGAGCAATGAGAAGCACGGGGTGGTCTGTAAAGCATGCATGTGTCACAGTATTTGATCTTTACAGTGATTCCATTCACAATCATATCCTTTGTCCGAGGCAACCTACTCTGAGGAGTATGTGCAAGACGCGGTTCTCCATTCCCTTCATTACCCTCTGGTTCAGGAGGGTATAAATTACGTGGTATTATTCCTGGGTCTCTCCCCGAGGTTAGAAGAAGAAATATCAGATCCTGTAGACACACAAAGATAGAAATTTATCAACAAGATGCAGAGGAGACTTATGTAAGCAGAAGGTGAACAAATATTCATGAGAAAAGTGAAACTCACCAATAAATTCAGACCAACGGCGATGGCTAATATTGATACTCCTCTATGGTGAGGGAAATCATCAATGAATTTTCTGCCAACAAAAACGCAAAAGATAGTGACAGGAGCTGTAATCAAGAAGATGGTGATCAGAATAGATCGAGCATCGGGTCCAAACACGAGCCTTCCTCCAAGGAAGAACACCTGCAGAAAAAAAGATTCAACATCAGTAAAATGTCTACATATATAAACAAAACAGTTGAATTAACAACACTTGTAACTCTGACATCACACTTCTTGAAAAATCTGTACTAAATTGTGATAAACATCCAAAAGCTCCAACTTTGTAAGAGACCATATCTTTGACAGCATAAACAATGTAAACCAAAACTCATTAGCTTAAGAAGACACATTATCCAAATAGCTGTAGACAAGTACATTAGGAACTGATAAGGAGACTAAACCAAACCAATGCTGTATCATACGCCACAAGGTCTGAGCTCTATAGAGATTAATCTAATTGTAAGGGATTTCTTTGGGGGTATCCAATATCCATCGTCTCTAATACTCTCAAGAAAGGACAAATCTTTATGAATCATCGGATGAAAACGACATGGAAACTAAGTCAACTTCCAAATTAAGAAAGAGAATGAGTAAAAGCCATTAAAAATAGCTGCAAACAAGTTCATAAAATCATACATCTCAAAAGTTAGGGCATAGAAGTCAACTTATTAGTTCTAAACTTCTGAAGAAAGAACCCAGAAAACACCAAAAAAAAAAGAAATGATTGTGCCATAACTTCTTGGTTAACAACAACAATTCCACCAAAAAAAACAGACGATTCGAATCAGATCTTGTTCAAAGACCTTAAATCTGACCCAGAAAACAAAAACACAAGAGAGAAAGAGAAACTCACGTTATTCCCTTTCCACCCTTTATAAGTTCTGATCAGCTCATCTCCAGAGCCGCCGCCAGTAGAACCCGGAGCTCCGGGACGACGATCTGACGGCTGCAAGTCTAACATCGGAAAGCAGAAAAAATCGCGTTTTTGCTACAAACGAGAGTCTTGAGCAATAAATTTGGTTAAAAAGGAGAAAAATTTATGAAGAAAATAAAGAAATTTTCCAAAAAGTATTATTGACTTGGGACAGAGAATTATGTTTTTTCTCCGGCTACTTGGCCCTCTAAGCCACCTTTCCCCTTTTACGAGTCAACTAATTTCAATCAAAACATTTAAAATAATCTAGTTTATAGTAAACTAATCTCATTTATCAACAGATTTTTTTTTTCTTATTCACAAATGTTTGGATGGGTAATAGATTCAGCAAATTTGTTAGAAAATCTCAGAGATTACGAGCAGAAAGGAAAGACAAATCTTTTCTTATTGCTAAATATATGTAGATTTCCTATTATTATCAAATATATGCGTTATAATACGTCTATATACATTAGTATATACCAAATCAGTAAAACTGAAAGAAACCGTTTATGCTTATAGGTTTCCTCCGAATCAACCTTGAAAATTTTTTGGATATTTTTTTCCTTTTAAAGATTAGAAAATACAATTATTGTGATTTTAATCAACTAGAAGAAATAATCATGAATGACGATGATCATAACATGTAATTTTGTGAAAAGAGCTAAATGTGTTATTACTTGGATTCAAACTTGTAGACTACATCTACATGTCATTATACAAAATGCTGATAAAAAAAAATATGACGATCCCATTTTATTATTACCGTGGATTCTTGTATAAGTGGTTCGAATAACACGAAGCTATAGCGTTTTATCTAAGTAGACTTATAAGCATTGTAGATTTCAATTATATTTGAATTCAATTATATTTGAATTCAATTTTTTACCTACTGGATGCGAAACATATCCATAGAAATAGAACGCCTCTGTTGACAAAGTGTAGATGCTGATTGATTAGATATCACAATTATGTCAACATTTAGATGGTCATATGTCTTCTTTCATTTAATTTCTATTAAATTGACATGTGATTTATTCGAACTTAGACCTGCCGTAAAATGTATAATCCAATACGTGTTGAACATTTCTCGTCAATTTGGGTCTCATTTGATGATTTGTTGGACCCTCTTCTCGTTAACTAATTTAAAGGAAGCTTAATAGACAACTCACTTCCTCTTGTATTTATCTGGTCTCACGTTGGCCATAAGCTTTCATTAGTCGGCCTACCCGTAAAAACAAAACCTTTATTATTTTATGTTTTTATAGTTTTTCATTTAGATTAGTATATTTGAAAAGGGGAATAAATTTGACTAGTCATATATTATCAGAAAATAATAGAAACTTGTAAAAAAGAAAACATTAAAGTTGGAGTTTTTAATAGCATAATCTAAAAAAAAGTTGTTGATTCATGCAATTTACGTGTAAACAAATGTAGGTTTTAGACTTTTAGTAAATATATACTATTCCAATTCACAGTGGAGATATTTAAGGGATAATAATAATAATATAAAAGTATCAAGGCTTCACTCATACAGGCATACAGCTAACAAGTCATTCAAGAAGGCAACTCCTCTAAACTTGATCCATGTCATGCCAATAATCATTTTTTTAAAAGGAAAGATTTGATTATATATGATCAGATGATAATCACTACTATTAATTATACAAGAAGCAAAGTCATAATATGATATGTTGCAAAAAAAAAAAACATATATAGGGGAATATTCTTCTTGGTGAAAAAAACGATAGAAAATGATCTCAAAAGCTTAGAAGAAAAAAAAAAACAAAGCACACTCGTACTAGAATAGGTAGGAAAAGAAAGAATAAACAAACCCCATTAATAGTGTTCTTCATTTTCTTAGGATTAAGACTGAAAGATAATTATATATAGAATGAAGGAGATTACTGGTTTTTATAGCCTTTTCCTAAGGCATGACACCAAGATCCTTGAAGTAATCATGTTCCAGGGCGGCTCTTGCATTGATTCTTTTGGTCGGATCCATTAGCAGCATTTTCTGAAACAAATCAAAGAGAGACATATTAGAATCTTTTCCTGCACATGAGCTCAAAATCTTAGATAGTGATGACTTTAGAAGACCAACTAAAACCTCAACTGGTAAATGGTTCATTAGGGGAACATGAAACCAGATCCATCAAAATCAAGCATCCAGGTCTTTAATGTATCAGAAGTAGAGTATATAGATGCTTATGTATATATACATATATGGTCACTGAACTTACAGAAAGGAGATCTACTCCATCGGGATCCAAATTCGGGACAAACGATTCTAAGTCCTGTGGTAATAGAAAAAAAAAACATGGGCAAGAATCACATTGTGCTGTGACCTTTTTGTCTACTGAAATAAAGAAGATGTAGACGTGAATGAATTGAAATACCGTTGGTTTCCATTTAGGGAAAGCAGATTTGTAATCTGGCAGCGAAGTCACCCCGGGCCATGTATCCTCGTATGGAGTTCCCATGATTCTGGGAGAGTAATAGATTTATCATCAGATAACATTTGAATATCTAATGTTCTTCACTAGTTCTCTCCGAAAACTAGATTTCAAGTTGAGAATATATTCTGAATCCTTTGTGATACCATTGCATAAAGGTCCTTTCGACTTGTAATATATAGAAGAGGATTGGGTCGAGGAAGTTAGAGACGAAACCTGAAAATCTTGAAGAGTTGATCAATTTCGGAGTCTCCAGGAAATAAGGGCTTTTGGCTGATCATCTCAGCAAATATGCATCCCACAGACCAAATATCAACGGGTGTAGAGTAATGATGAGAACCTAGGAGTATCTCTGGTGCTCGGTACCAGAGAGTAACCACCTAGAAGTAACAATAAGCAAACACTGGGTGAATATCCATGAAGAGCTGTGAAAGTTTTTCAATTCAGCATAGTTTAACCCTCAAGGGAAATGTCCTTTACGTTAAGACTTTGAAATCTATCTGAAAGTCCTTTATGAACACTTATCAGTTGCAAAAGTGAGATATACTACTCTAAGTGGTTCTATACTCTATCTCTAATAAACAAAAGGACAGATTGAAAAACCATGCAAATATGGACCCATGTCATAACATTCATCAAGGAAATATAAGACCAAGAAATGAAACTTTTTGGCACCTCATGAGTAAATGTCCTGACAGGGATACCGAATGCTCTGGCCAGTCCAAAATCTGCAAGCTTAAGTGAATTCGTGCGGCGATCAATCAACAGATTCTGTGGCTTTAGATCACGGTGGAGAACCCTGTGAGAGTGGCAGTACGCAATTCCACGGAGAATCTGGTAAAGATATGTCTGCAAACAGTGAACAGCTCTGATCAGCCTGTATTTGAGTACTAAAACGCATCGACAGGACATTACATAACTTAGTTTCAAACAATATTCAGCGAAACTAACAGATAGATGTGACAATATTACCAGAAGGAAGTTTATGGCAGCATGACCAACCAATCAGCTTAACATTTCAGTATGTTTAGAGGCAATGGGTTTGTTAATTTAAGAAGTTCCTTCACATGAAATGCATCAAGCTTATAATTAAAAAAGTACCTAAAGTTTCTTAGAACTCACTTTGATCATATGTAGATCCTTTGAGAAATCAGGAGATGAGTCCATGTGCTTTTTGAGATCCAAGTCAAGATACTCAAAAACCAGATACAAACGTTTCTCGCTGTGCACTACATCCTGCAACCTGTGCACCAAAAGATCAACTAACATTGTTCACCAGATTTATGCTGCATTGCTTTTCGAGAATGGTATTAGATTCATACTTGACAATGTTGCTGTGCTGCATTTCTTTCAAGAGTGAGATTTCTCTAATTGCTGTGCTAGGTACACCTTCATCCTCCTGCTCCAGCCGGATCTTCTTCAAAGCTATTGTCTCATTGGTCACTTTGTCTCGTGCCTTATAAACCACACCATAAGTTCCTTCACCGATCTTCTCAACTTTCTCGTACTGCATTTTTAGCATGAGCATTTAAACCGAGATTTTTCAAAGAGTAACCAGTGACTATGAACTTAAACAAGACTATGAACTAAAACAATCATATCACAAACCTGATCCATCAATTCCAGAAAAAAGAAGCTGAAGCAAATCCGCACTTGTGAATCCGAATGTGTGACAACACGAATAGGCGAAAACTTCACCTGCAGATTGATAATGAGATATCAAAGCATAAATTAGTCAGCTATCTACGCACATTCCACAGCTATTTTAAGGAATCAATCTCAAAATTTAAGTAGAATCTGTACACAAAGACGCAACTCAGATCCAGGCTATGTTACTAACCGAGTATGATTACACATGGAACATAGCAAAAACGAAAAAGGAATTGTGCTTTGATGATTGTGAAAATGAACAAATCAGAAAACTAAAACAAAATCCCAGAGCAGCGAAGTCGCATTTCTCCAATCCAGACACACATTAAGCGAACGAACATAAACACAACGACGAAATGCGAAAAAAAAAGTAGTCTAAATCTAGTGAAACGCCACTGAAAATGCTAAACAGGGGAAAAAACTAGAGATCAGCATCGCATCGCATAGAAAACGTGAGATGGAGAGAAGAGAAAGCGTTTGGAATTGTGAACAAGTTCAAAGTCAGAATTGGAACGGAATAGAAGTTGCTCGGGTAAGAAATTCATCGGAGAGTGACGAAATCATCTTACCGGTGAAAATCGGTTGTAGTGTCAGTGCCCGGCACACCGACGGATCCTCTCTCTCTCTCTCTCTCTGGAAAAGGCAGTAGAGAGAGACGGTGGTTTCTGCGTAGCTTGAAGAGAGAACTAGGGAAGGCGATTGACTACTAATGGAGTAAGGGTTTTCTTTTTTCTTTTTTTTCTTTTTTTTTTGTTTTGTGTGAAAACTATGTTCGTTATCTATTTTTTTATTTCCACTAAATTGAATTACCTAACCGCATTAACTCGGTATGAATTGTAATTCGTCATAAAATTGTTTCTTCTAAATTAAGAAATTTTTGTTTGTTTCAAGTCTAGATTACTACGGTTTTGAATGGTTGCAATAGACGAAATGTTCTGTTATCTTTTGTAAATAATTCCTACTTTAACAGAGAGTAACTAATCTATGACATCTCGTTTGATTTATAAAAGATGTGATTTGTTACAAACCAATTGTAGACAGTTTCACGAAAAATGGTTAAGTTTGCAGAATGGAGAATCTACTCCCTATGCTACATAATCGTATAATTGAAATATAGAATAATGTCTTGTAGGATGAAAATCACATCCCCTACAAATCGACAATGACTGGAAATTACTCGTGAATGATATTTGATTAGTGACTCATATCTCATTAACTATTCAAAGCTTCAAATCTAATTATAAAAGAGATGGTTTAGATTCAGGCCGTGTTTATGTTATGGATTGGGAAACATTGGTCTAGAGCCTAATTTTAATGAAATGCTGAAAAAAATTATTTTTTACAAAATATATTATACTATAATTTGAATTTCGTGTTTATTATTTTCCTTCATAAAAACATTTTTTAAAAATAATTAATATTGCTTATAAATTGATATTTTGGTATATAACTTTTTTAGCCATTTCTGATTTAGTGGTCATTTTGTATTAAGACTAATTATATAAAATATTTATGGAGAATTTGTATGTTGTTATTTGTTAGTGATTATAAACATATTTTTCATCTTTTATTTTTAGTTAAATATACTATTACTCACTTCGTATCAAAAGATAAGTCATTTTAAGATCAAATTTTAGTTTCACAATATAAGTCATTGTAGGTTTTTTTTTTCACACAGATAAGAAAACCATTCAATTTTTAATTTTACCCCTTATTAACCTACTATTTATAAAATTAGTTTTAAAAAAACAAGCTGAAAGAAACAAACAAAGAAAAAACTACATCGTCTAAAATTTACTACCAAATGTCAACAAAAAGAAAAAGAAAGTCTACTACCAAATTTATTCAAAGTAAACGAAAAACTGATATATTCTAAATTACATTTTGAAATCACATATATATATTTTGACTAGTTCATATTCAAATTTTAAAGCTAACCTAGTTTTGGTCTGGTTTAATACAATCAATAATATATTTGATCAAAGTGAATTTGACCGCTTTTTTATATTTGTTATTTTGCTAATAATTAATATTCAGTAAATTTTGATAAGCATAAGACGAAAATTAAAAAAAAAAAGTGGTTTATAAAATACATTTGTGAAACTTTGAAAAGTTATTGAGTTTTTCATCCAACACACATTGAAATTTGATTTACTACAAAGAGTTTTTAAGGTTTATTTATAAATGAATTTTTTTTAGTACCTAAATTAATAACTGGATAAACCAAATTAAAAATCACACATTAAACTATTTTGTGTGTTTATTTGGATACAAACTCATTTAGCATATATTTGTTATTTGAGTTTATTATATTTTGGAAGATCAATATTTTCACATATTTATTGTTTTATATTTTTTTCCATAATTCTTGAAATAAATAGAAGTTTTCTTTTTAAGGCAGAAGCAATAAAAAGGAACTTAACACGCATATTTGTTGTTAACACACAAACAATCCCAAACAAACACAATAAAAACTAGAGCTTATCTCTCTCTTTTTTCTTTTTCTTCCCAGCATTAATTTCCTCAATTAGGGGCAGCGTAACCTCGAGGGTATCAATACCGGCAGCCGAAAAACGTTGCACGAGTCTCATGAGGACACTTGTTTCCCATCGACCTTTATTTTTCTTCACCATCAAACATTTCCCCAAAATAGTGCTGGTGAAGATAATCCAATGCGAGTCTTCTTAACGGCTCTACTCCATCAGGGGCATACACATAGTTAAAAATTTTGAAGACAAGGAAGAATCAATCACTCTGACATGCGCCATCTTGAGTGCTTTTAATTGCTTGCCCAATTCATAACCTACCAAAAAGGTATTCACAACCACTGAATCCCACAATCAATCATATATTTGTGCCACGGAAAGAGTATTCACCCCTTCAAGATTTTCAGCACTCAATCATGTGACTTCAGTCCTATAAATCATCAATAGGTTAAAACAAGTTAACATGGGCCACCAGTATGAGCCAATTGTGCAACAACACATGCAGGAGCAAAGCTCTCATTCACACAACACACCATCAAACACGAAAGAGAAATCGTTCGTGTCTCTTCAGAATCAGTCCAATGCTAAGTGTGTTCCTTCCGATCCCCATTAGAACCCACTCCTCCTTGTTATATGGGACCAAAAAATCAAACGGTACTCAAGATGTAATAGAGTTGCATCAACTAAGTCCTGCAACTTTGTCTGCTCATTAGTTTCTTCATTAGTGTGTTCATGGCAGCTCTCTGAGTTTTTAGCAGCTCTTGGGTCGGGCTATTAATTTAGTTAAATTGAACAAATAATCAAAATCTCATGACCAATATTTGCACGATTATTTTGTTTTGTTTCGAGTCTTTTAAAAACTTATGGCTGATTCTGCTTAGATTTTTTATTAGTCTATGTGTGACTCCGTTTAGATCATTACGAAATGAGCAAAATGAATTTTAAGAACAAACTAAATTCACTTTGATTAGAAAGAGGGAAGAGTTGTAAATGTGAAATTGATTATAAGAATACCAAGTCAAATTACAAAGTGATGTTAAACACCAAATGATGTTTTCTTGATATCATTAATGATTTTCAACAAAGAACTACAGTATTAGATGATGATGACTGAAAAATAAAATAAATTATTAGATGTCGTACACAAGACAACCCCAATTTCTTATATCTTAACATGGATTTCAAAAACATTATGAACCTTTGCAATTTTAGGTTAAAAGGATACAAATATTGAAGAAACATAAATATAGCATCGGACATCTTTCTTTAACTCCGTTTTAGTTAGCGATCCTATTCCTAACCAAGAAAACGGTAACTTCAATCAAGTTCATCTCCAAATCATGTCATTAACATTATTTTAATTACCTCTTTTGTCCTCTCAAACAAATTATTTGCTGATATTTGAAACAAAACTTGGCCCAGTTTGACCCCAACTTCTCATATGGGGCTGATATTTTTTGTTTATCAATTTTAACTCATTGGATCTTAACAAAAGAAGTGTCAGGCCCAAACAAACAATTATCAAAAAGGTCCTACCGGGAGTCGAACCCAGGTCGCTGGATTCAAAGTCCAGAGTGCTAACCACTACACCATAGAACCGAGTAACAGTTCTTTTAAAAGGTTTCTAATATATAACAGGTAAGAATGCCTCATAACCCATTTTACGGGTAACCTTATTCTCACATATTAGAGAGGAAAAGAAGCAAAATACTCGAAATAGACACAACAGCCAAGAAGGCAAGAACCATTGGTACTGAATCTTCATTATTGTGATTTTTGTGTGGTTTCTCCCTCTTTAAAAATATATAGATATTTTGATTTCAACAAAATCGTTAAAAAATACATTTTCGAAAATAACTCTAAAGAAAAAGGAAACAAAAGAGAAGAAAAGATTTCGATATTTCTCTACTTGCCAAGTCAGCCCCCCACCCTAGGAATTGGGATATGTCATTATTGACATCAAAAAGAGACCCTCCTTAGAAAAAGAGGATTCAATAATCTCTCAAACAAATACAATGTGAAGTCGTTTTTTAGTACAAAACAAACAACCAACAAAAAAAAGAAGAAGAAATTATATACTAATTGCTTCCTTTTTCATGATACATCATCAGTTCATCTGAGGTTTATGTGAATTACAGTAATAAGTGTAAATATATAAACTTCTATTACTACATTGCGTTCACTACATAAGTTAATACTCATTATAATGAGAGGGTCTCGGAGATTTTTGAAATTATTTACTATCATACATCAATCATCAGATCGACAAAACTGATCGTGTAGAGAAAAAGAACTATAAAACACAAAGTTAGTTTTTGGAAAAAAAAAAAACGTAGTTTAAATTTATGAGAAAGAATAAATATTGATCGTGAACAGATTTCTCAGGTTTCTCAACTATATATTTTTGATAAAAAAATTGGTTTCTCAACAATTTTATAAGAATTATTATACGAGTATATTAAAGTAAGACTTCGTTTTTATAGCTCCATACACCTAGAATATCGTAATGCTTTTAAGAATATCGTAATGCTTTCAAAAGAATATCGTTTGTGTACAATGCTTTTAAAAATATCGTAATGCCTTTAAGAATTAGTTTATGAGTACATAAAAGTAAAATCTCATAAATACACACCGGCAGATATGTGCCTGTAAATTCCATAATTTTGTTAGTACGTGTTCTCGGGAATGGGTGGAAGTGTATTCACTCCTAAATCCATGAATATATATATGATTTTATAGGAGATAAACATAATACATAACTCTTTCTCAAAAAAGAAAACATGTAATAAATAAAAAAAATAAGAGTAACAAGGGGAAAAGAGGGACAAAAGCTGGTGTACCAAAGCTGCCGGCCAACTGTACACAAGACAAGAAATCTTTTAAACGTTTTCCCTTAATGGATGACGAGTGTGTTCTTTTATTTAATTTAGAACTTAATAATCAATCAATTTTCCCAACAATTAAAGGAAATATTATATTATATGTGGATAATGCATAGGTATTGTTGGGAATAATTTAGTCATTTGGCTAAACTCAATATAAATGTAAAGCGTATAATAATTATGGTTGAAACAGGCCGTATATTGCAGGCAAGTATAGATTGTAGAAAACGCATGATGTTCTGGAACGATCTATCGAAAATTTATAATTTCATGTGACTAGGGTTTGGGAAATCGGTTGCTGGTCCAAGTAACGGAAGATTCCAAGTAAAACCTCTATAAATTAATAATGTT